GCGCGCGCACAGTGCTTTGGCACAGGGTGCAATAGCATCCGAACGTGTGGCATTCGCCCACAGCTCGCACCAGAGGACACGACAGTCCTCGTGAACGCGTCCGGAGCATGGTGTCTCCCGCGAGGGACGACACCGAGAAGGGCAACACCTTCCCCAGCACTAGAGAGAGCTCTCAGCTCACCTCGGGCCATGCCTTTGGCTCCAGCAAGGATCCATCCTTGCGGGCGGAGCTTCTGCCACGCTCTCTTCGCGTCTTGGTCACCATACTAACGGCGCGTAGGTGTCCTTCATCGACACCGTGTACCGTGACAGTACACAACCGTGGTGTAGGTGTCTCCCATCGACACCATGTACCGTACGGTACTAACCTTTGGTGCGGTACGCCCACCACAAGGCTGCCATGTTTGGCGGCAACAGCTTCTGCTGTGCTGTCGCCTGAACAGATTCATGGCCAGTGCTCGCATCATGCACGACGCATGTGCAAGCACAGTGTACAGGTCCATGGGCCCGTACACGAAGTACGCTGTGTACGACACGTACCACAGCTACCATAAGTGCTCCGTGCACGTCATGTGTGTCATGCACGACGAGTTCATTACGTAGAACTCCTGGCAGGCTGCTCGACAGCAGCCAGTGCCGATGCACGGTACGTGCGTTGACTTACAGCGTCCAGAGCGCATCGGGTCGTGGTATGGTGCACATCCTTTGCACCTATACCAGTGTCTGTCACAGACACCATGTACCTTGATGGTACTCGACCGTGGTGGGGCACATCTCACCACTATTCCACTGCGGCATTGGTGTCTGGCGTTGACACCGAGTACTCACGGGTACCAACCTATGGTGAGGCAAGCAGCCATCATCACGGTGTCCTGCTCGGCGCAGCACCAGTTGCGACTGCGTGCGTTGCCTCGACCACCACCTGGTCAGTTGTGTGTGCACTCGTGCACCACACCTGGGTTATGGCTCCACGACCCATTATACCCGTCGCGTTGCGTACATCACGTACCGCAACCGCTTTGTCGGCGGGTGAGACGCTCCGTTCACCCTACTCGACAGGTCGTTCATGACCAAGGGACCAGTGCGTTGATTGCACTAGGCCCGCGCTTCGCCTCGTGTGTGGTTGCTTGCAGCCCCAACACTGCTGATTCGCTCAGCAATTCCGAGGCACCTTGCGCTCGTGGCTTTCTTCGCCACTATGTCTTGTTCGGCTAGAGCTACCGCAGCTCTAGCCCGGCTGTTCGCCTCCAGCCTGCAGTCGACGTACATCGACGCCTGGCTCCGTAAGAACTTGGTCTTACCTCAACACCAGGGAGGAAAGGTATTTCCGAGCCTCTCCCCCACTTACACTCGAGACTACTGAGTCTCTCGTGGCTTTTAGTAGCCACTGGCAGGCGCAACGGCTCTCCGCCCTGTGCCCTGCGTCGGTATGGACGACCGCGTCGGCCGTGTCGACCGAAGGCACCCAGCCTTAGCGTCAGCAGTTTGAGTCTGCGCGACTTGACGTCGAGCGAAGTTGCTCACGTCTGGCGAGGCCAAGACAGCCTCGCGCCTCGAGCCAATGGCTCTGTGTGCGGCGCTATGTTACTCGCCTTGGGTGTGGAACTCTGTTACCCACGTTGGTTGTGTGGAACTCTGTTACCCACACCGGAAGCGCATACAGCGACTTCCTTATCAGTTATGGTCTGAGTGACCTTGCGTGGAACTTTGTTACCCACGCTCGGAGCACCGAATGTCGGTCTCCTTAAGCAGCTTCGCTGCTTGCGGATCTTGTTACCCGCACTGTGGACCTATGTTACCCACCTGGTGAATACCCTTCGGCACCACCACTGTCGAAGAGCATACGGCGCGACGACCTTCGGTGTTGGGATCAGCTGGTGTGGCAGACCCGCCCACACACCGGACAGGATTGGTGCCCACCGACCGAGTCAGAGGAGTCCGGGCCCTGGACTCCGAGTCGCTTAAAGCAACGTCGGCCTGAACAAGGTTCAGACCCGACTTGCGGCGGCTGACGTGACGTGGCACTTTGTTACTCACGTCGTGATGTCTCGTTGACGACATCAGAGGCACTCGAGACTTCGTGTGGCACTGTGTTATCCACACAGAAAGCATGGACAATGCCTTCCTCTTCAGTTATAGTCTGGGCGACTGCGTGTGGTACTGTGTTATCCACACAGGAAGCGCATTCAGCGCCTTCCTCTTTAGTTAAGGTCTGAGCGACCGTGTGGTCCTAAGTTACCCACCTGGTTAGCGCTTAAGGCATAACCACTGTCGAAGCCCGTACGGCGCGACGACCTTCGGCGTTGGACGCTGCTGGTGTAGCAGGTCCACACGCCGGGCAAAGACCCACGCCCGTGGTACTGCCGCAGCGGAGCATGATCTTGCTGTACGCAGAGCTGTCGGCGCGTTGACAGCTCCGTGACGCTTCTTCGTCCTGGCGGTCTGTATCAGACGCCCCAGTCATGACGGAGGTGGGAACATGACTCACCAATGCTCCGTCATAGACCTGGACTGGTAGGCCCTTCTCAGCCTTGCCACACCAAAGTCCGGGCTGTGCCTTATGTTCGGCACAGCCATGTTGTTCATGGCGAGAACTGCGAGCGACACCGCGGTGCGCGAGTTCATCGAGCCGAAACGTTCAGGTCCGTTGAGGACCATTGGTACTTCCTTCACCGTACCAAAGGCTAGTCCACCAAGGACCGGCCCACGACCGCCACTCTGACATAGAGTTCAGTCGGATGTCGCTATGCCAAGCGACGTTCCGGCGGCGTATTAACGCCCCAGAACTCATCAAACGTTCAAGGGGTACCGTACCCCCGTACACCGAGTGTACTACCAGCAGCCCATCACTGCCCTTCACCGGTTTGAGAGAACCACGTCTCTCTGGGCTAAGTCCCGTGGTGCGCACAGCCTGCACATCCATCACGAAGGCTTAGCGCTCTTCAGTAGAACATACTGCCTCTACGGATGGCCGGGGAGTCTTCGTCCACCTGGCCGTGGCCTGCGCCACCGGACTTGGGGTCCACGGGCTGTCTTTTTCCCGAGGACTAGCGAGGGACACACACGCTGGTAGTGTCCATGTCCGCCGCATTCATAGCAGCGGACCAAGCTCTCGGCTGAGCTTAAGTCCATGGGTTCGGGCTCGCTGTACGCACCGGTATCAACGGGCTGCGTGACAGCAGGAGCAACAGCGTCATTGCTGCGATGCTCCGCCTTCTGAGGAACGTCATCCTCATCATGACGATGTTCCTCTTTCCGAGGAGTACCAGCCTGCTTGTGGCTGTACTCTTCTTGGAGGGCGATTTGAATCGCCTCCTCCATAGTTGTCGCTTGCACCCGGAATAGCTGGGTGCGAGCAGGACCGACTTTTAGGCCGTCCATGAAGACTGTTGTCTTGACGTCTTCAGGCAGAGGATTCCCTGCCAGAGATTCCACCAACGTGCGCATCTCTTGCGCATACTCCTGCAGCTCACGCCTACCTTGCTTACACGCGAAAAAGCGTGAGCGCTGGCGGAACTCGTTGTTCGCCGGTAGGAACGCGGCTCGAAGCTGCCCACACAGCTGAGCCCAGGATGCAAAGCATCCAGGAGATGTCGTCTCCCTGGTGTACGCCCAGTGCTTGGCACGTCCACCAAGATTGGACAGGGCAAACGCCACCCGAACTGGCTCGTCTGAGATGAGACCCGCCTTCATGGCGATCTCCATCTCACGGACCCAGAAGTGAAGGTTCTCTCCTTCCTTCCCCTCAAACGCGGGGACGCTTAGCCACACCGGCTTAGGCCTGGCTGCCTGGGGAGCAGCCATCGTGGCCTCCAATCTCCCACGGACGTGAGCGATGAGACCACGCTCGTAGGTCTCAAGCGCGGTCACGCGTTCTTGTTGCTCGGCAGGCGTCGCCGCCGCCTAGCTGCGAAGGACATCTTGTCCAAAGATGCCTCCCATCTTCCGAACAGACTCGTACTGTGAGTCGTTCAAGCGAGGAAACTCGCTTCGGTCCATCTTGGATCAAACGCTGAGCGCACAGAGGATTCAGGTAGTTCAATCTACCCGCGATGGTGTTGGATTGACTACTAGTACTACCAAGTGTGACGGGGTCACACAGCACCTTGCACAGAGAAAGTGCTTAAGGGTATTAACTACCCGAGTGAACGTAAGTCCACGTGTTCCCGGCCTCAGTGGGAACGGTTTGCTACTTAGAGGAGTAGATTTAAGACTGATGTATCTATAAGTAAGATAAGCTTGGGTCTCATACAAACTAGAGGTTACCTATAGTGGAGCTAAGTAGTCATGCACTGAGAGCACCTGGTACCGTGTACCAGGTGTCCACAAGAGTGACGGGTCACTCTTTATGTAACATGGGGCACACTGGATTGTACCCCGTTACACTATCGGTAGAGAACAAAAACAAATACCTTAACTTATCTCTATCGGCTTCAAACGACTGCAACTGTTTGCGGGTTTCCATCTTGATCGGCTTTGTCTGTGTCATAGTGAAATACTTGAACAAATATTTGTCAGTTTTGAAGCCTGTCATCTACTGCTGTGACCGAAAGAGTTATTTGGTAAGCCCTCGTTGCACTCAGCAGAGGGTAAGGTGTCAAGAAACGTACTTAAGTGGAAATTACCATAAAAATAGTTTTCAGTATCTAGTTTTCAATCTCTAAGCTAATATTATAATATCATGTTGCCTTTTAAATTTTGGGACTATTGATATTTAATACTGAAAAGTAGTAGTACTGTTAAAAATTCAAATGATATATGGTTTCCATAAGCCCTAATACATGTCCAAGTAATTTTAATTTACGAGAATGTAGAACGTGGAGATTACAGGCCTTCAACTTCACAACGTTGACGTCAAACAATCCAGACGATTCTTTCAAACATGATATTTAAATCATCGAATAACAAAGCTATCGTATTATACTCCATACCTCTCATATAAACTGCTTTAAACAAAGCCATTATATTATTTTGCATGCTTTTAATATCAGTTTTCATCTCAAACTCCTCCCTGTGCTGATCTCGTCATGGAACTCACGGACTTGGCCCCGCTATTGCTCAAGAAGGAACGCGCCAACGGCGACATCAACCCTTCTGTACTCACCGACATCCTACGCGATGGCAAGCCTGCCAACAACCGCCGCAAGGAGCTCGTGGCTATGATCGAGCGCCATCCCGTGCTTTCAGATCGTGACATGATGTTCCGCAACCACACAGAACGCTACACGTTTGGGCTGAAGAAAGTCTCGCACTTTGTGCAGTTCTTAAAGGATCGGAACATTACCGATAGAAACGAGCAGAAGATCATGTATGGGGCGCTGGGGGAGCCTCTATGCATTGATGTGCACGACTCCATGTTCATTCCTACACTGGAGAACCAGGGAACCGACGAGCAACGCGCCAAGTGGCTGCCATTGGCTAGAAACTACAAGATCTTCGGTGCGTATGCGCAAACGGAATTGGGCCACGGGTCCAACGTGCAGGGTATCGAGACGGTCGCGACGTACGATAAGGCCACTCAAGAGTTCATCATTGACTCGCCCACTCTGACAAGTCGCAAGTGGTGGCCTGGAGGTCTGGGCAAGACTGCCAACCATGCCATCGTGCACGCAAGACTGTACTTGGACGGCAAGGACGTGGGTGTGCAGGCGTTCCTGGTGCAGCTCCGATCGATGGAGGACCATCAGCCTCTGCCTGGTATTGAGGTGGGGGATATTGGTCCGAAGGTCGGATTCAACGCCATTGATAATGGCTACTGTGCCTTCCACAAGATCCGAGTCCCTCGTGATAATATGATGATGAGATACGCCAAGGTGCTGCCGGATGGAGCATTTGTCAAGCCAAAAAGTGACAAACTCGTGTACTTGACGATGGTGCATGTGCGCGCCAGCTTGGTCGAGAACTTCGCCTTGACTATGGCCAAAGCTACTGCCATCACGACGAGATTCAGTGCTGCTCGTATCCAGGGACGCACTCCGGACAACAAAGGCGAGTTCCAAGTTCTGGACTACCAGAACCAGCAGCACGAACTCTTCCCGTTTATCGCCATCGCATATGCTGCCAAGTTCGCAGCTCGTGATATGATGGCACGACACGATGCGGCTGTGGCGATTGTCAAGCGTGGCGACGCTGGCTTTGGCGCCAAGCTGGCCACGCTCCATGCCGTGTCTTCGGGGCTTAAGGCTTGGCTTGCTGAGAAGGTAAGCGACGGTGTCGAGTCCTGTCGCCGGTTGTGTGGAGGCCACGGCTTCACGCAGTCTGGAAATCTGGCTCACATCTTCAATGAGATCGTGGGTGCCAACACGTTCGAGGGCACGTTTGATGTGCTAGTACAGCAGCATGCTCGGTACCTTTTGAAGATGTTGGCTGCTGTCAAGACGCTGGACGAGAGCGAACCTGCTACTCGGTTCCTTGCTAAGATTAAGATCTATTCAGACCCCAAGTTACGCTTCTCGAGTCAGAGAACTGAGGACTTTAGTGACCTAAATCTGCTTGTGGAGGCTTTCGAGGTGCGTGCTACGCGTATTTTACTCGCGCTGGCTAGTCAGATGAAAGCTACCGAGAACAATGGCAATGCTTGTATGGTGCTGATGTCGCGCGTGTCGAATGCGCACGCGGAGCTTATGTTGCTTGAAGCCTTGGTGAACGGTGTTAGCGCTATTCCCGCTGGCCCTGAGCAGCGATCGCTGGCTCAACTCTGCTCACTTTTCGGTGTGTGGCTTATCACCAAATCGCTAGGAGATTTCCGTCAACATGGCTACTTCTCTTCTCAGCAAGTTGATCTCGTTCGAGATCAGATTGTGCATCTCCTCCCGATCGTCCGCAAGAACTGCGTGCTACTCACAGATGCCTGGGACTTCAGTGACTTCGAGTTGGGCTCGACTATCGGTCGCTACGACGGCGACATCTACCGCGCATTGGTGAAGCGCGCTGCTGATGAGCCACTGAACAAGACACAGGTTCCGGAAGGGTACGAGAAGTACTTGAAACCTCTGATCCAGTCTGATCTGTAGATGCAGTAGGGAGCTCTTCGTACTGTAGCCATTTCTGGTAGTGGTGCCGTCACCCGATTCGCTTTGATCAGAATGGGAATACTAGTACTAGCATGTGTGTTGATTGCGACCGCAAGTGCGATGTTAAACGAGCTGTACATGGGTGTTATTCACTGGTTTCACTGGAGGTTAAACCGAACATATCAAGAGATCTTTTGTTTTCTTTTTTTTCATATTTGCTGTCATTTCGGAGTGCTTTTGGTGTCGCTAGGTCCCTCCCTCACAGCATTTAGGGCCGTTCCGATCCGTAGGAGTGAGCAAACTGAGCCCTTGGATTTTAAGTAACAACTTATTCACATGCCAATAAACAAGCTGATAAATTAATTGTTTTTCTTTTAAGAAAACATTTTTGAAAAAAATAGCATACATGTACTTCAGCAATTAGAACTAATAAGTGCTCGTATTTAGTGGAAAATTAAAGAGGCCAGTGCATAAAAGTAGAACACACACGCAAGTGTAATATTTAATGCATTTCGGCGTCAAGCTGTCTTCTTTTATAAAAGTTAGACAACTTGACACCGAATGGTTTTCGTACATTTGGATCGACCGGGTAACAACGCTATAAGATTTACATTCGCAGCCTTTCTAAATCTTACAATATTGTTAGTTCCCGAGGACTTCGAAGAAAGCCATTTTTTCGATATGGAATGTCCAATATCGTGGGAGTTGGCATCTTAAATATCAATGTGTAAGGGCAATGTGTAAGTGATGACCAGCCCAACTTCGTTACAGTGGGCAGCTTTTCGGAGACGAGACCGTTTGCAATGATGCTGTGCTAGCAAGTGCAACGCTGAAACGTTGCGGAGTGTAATGTCCCCAGTAACGAAGTGTGCAGATATACGCTCCATGCACGGTGCGTCAGTCTGACGGTCAGAGGAGTCGAACTGTTGCATCGGTTGGGAAGCTTTCCATGACCGATCGCAGAACCCGCATGGCAACCCAATCTTGCTCTACACCTTTTCAACTTCAAAATGGCGACAGGTAAAATCAAAGTGACAAAACGTAAGTTCAAAATGACATGACACTGACACTTAATATTTATGGGAGTATTTACGTTTGAAGTTCATTAGATGAAAGAGGCAAAAAGTGGCGGCAACTACTCCCGCCAATTTTGGTGGATGCTGGCTGGCTGTACGGCGTCGATGGAATCAGTGGACACTGTTGCTGCAGTTTGTGGCCGCACTGCCTTTCATTCATTACGCGTCCCACCGCACCTCACCATCAAGGCGCACCGTGAAAGCTACCTAAAGCTGGCTGCAGACCTCCTCGTACTCGAAGCTATCACCCCAGAACTTTGCTACAAGTGCTCGTTGCACACCATGAAGTTCCATGCGCGTGCGATCCAGATGAAAGATATGCCTGTAGGAGAATAAAGACAATATCAAGTTTGGCTTTGCTGGCTCCTATGTTCGATGTCATTTTGAACTTACGTTTTGTCACTTTGATTTTACCTGTCGCCATTTTGAAGTTGAAAAGGTGTAGATCTAATTTCTAACAACGCTCATATTTTCAACCTACAACTATTATAGCACCGGACATTGATAATTGTACCGGTATTTTAATCGAGCTAATATTTCTCTACTATCAATTCTTCATTGCAAGAATAATCGATCTTGACAACGAAGTTGACTCATTGTAAAAAAACGAAATTCCGTTTTCCTTAAGCTGTTCGTGTAACTAATAATGTCTTGGGTGCACTCCACAACAGACGTCAGGGCATTTATTCCACAATACGGGAAGCAACTTGGGCTGTTTCGTCAAGTAGAACTGTCCGTGCCTTTGTGGTGTTGTAGCGTCTGTTGAGCCTTCTTGATGTTCTATCAATGCAACAGGTTTCCCTCTCCATCTCTCTCACCTTGCATAACATTATTCCTGAATTTACCAACTTCCGCCCAGAACGACCTCACCAGCCACACACACAATTATGGTCGCCACCATCAAGTCTCCGTTTGCATTTCTGTTTGGCTTCGTCGCTGTCGTCAATGCCGCAAACCTCCGTCTAGAAAGTCTAGACTTCAGTAACGTGGCGGCGTTAAAAGTGGATAACAATGCTGTCGCTCTACTGACTCTTGTCAACGCGGAGCGCGTCGCGAAAGGCTTAACTGCACTCTGCACCAACAAGAAGCTGCAGGAGGCAGCAGAGCGTCACATCTTGGACCAAGCGAAAACAGACTACGTTTCGGAAACTGGAACCGACAACTCAACTCCCGAAGCGCGGGTTACTGCCGCTAGATACAAGTGGGAAAGCGTGGACGAGAACTTTGACGCTGGATCAGCTACTCCTGAGGCCGTTGTGAGCTCATGGCTTAAATCTGATGGTTGCCACGACGCCATCCTTGGCGACTACACCATGGTCGGTAGTGCCTACGTGTACAATGCGGACACGTTCTACAAACACTACTGGGTGCAAGTGTATGCTACCGGTAGCTCGGAGAAGTGTGATGCCTAAGCTAGTCTTATACTTCGGAGTACTATGCAGGGCTTCACACTTGCCGGGTGGGCTCAAATGATAGCCGAGTGTGATCAATAGCATGTGTCTGTTAAAAGAAAATATAAATGGTTACAGATAAAAAATGCTAAGTTCAGTGTGTTATTAAGACAGCTTGCTAGTAAAAATAATGCTTTTTTAATAATTTCCATACTATTTAGTCCGGCTGGAAAACGCCAACTCGTCTTATCAGCCTAGTCAGCTTCCTCCTTACTTTCACTCTCGTCGTTTCTACCAGCGTGTCCTAGTAAAACAGACTCGGTTTTGATGTAGTCGACTTCGTCCTCATCATGTTCATCCGATTCGAGCCCAAAACTCCCTTCGTCACTTGAAGCTTCCACACCGCTGTACACCTCGACTGCATCGGGAAGAGTACTCGTCTCTCCTGCAAGATCAGCAACATGACGACGTGCCATCCTTTCGTAGTCGCCACAAAGAATTGCAGACCTGGGTCTGGTGCTGTGAAGGAGCTTTCTAGCTCCCTCTGGAAATGGTCAAGCGGGCTGTTCGTGCGAACGATGATGCTGTTGTTCAAGCCGTGCATGTTCCACACAGCAGGCGAGAACTGCGAGATCCAGACGCGTTGGAAGTAGACCCATAACGAGTTCCATGGATCCTGTGCGTAAGGAAATCCAGCTGTAGAACACTTGTGTTTAATCTGCTGGCAATCCCTGCAGAAACAACTCGATCTGGCGGGATCGACACCAGCATGTCAGGCACACCTTTCTCCATTGCAATGTTGATAGCCTCGTCCGGTATCTTCAACTCTTCCATTCTGGTCTGGCAATTCCTCTTGAAGACAAAAACACTCCCTCTCACAGCAGCGTTGGGGAACTGTATTTGCAGAGCCCTATACAGGTCGTTGTCAAAGCTACATACAACCTCTTGTGGCTTCAGTTTTCGTCGTGTAGCTTGAATAATGAAGTAGAGAGCATTACGATAGCTAGCAAAAGCTGTTGTGTACAAGACATAGAAACACAGGAGCGAAAAGCCCAGACATTTTATCGTACACGATTAACGTCATGCACTGTTCGAACCCGGGAGGTAGACGACGAAGTGAAGTATCCACGTAGATAGTGGAATCGGCGTGCTTTAGCAGCTCGATAAGCTCAGGATGGGCCCAACCGATCACATGTTACTAGGACCGTATCCAAACATGCAAACGGGACCTGATCGAATAATTGGTCAACCCACAAGCTGTTTTGAGTGACTAGAATTTGTCGATGTTTGTTTTTTAGTCCGGAGTACTACTTACTGTAGTGCTGATCTCTTAAGAGTCATGAATAATCCGCAACAATGAATTTATAAAATAGTTGTCCCTTCCATACTCAGCACCAGTCACTTTTAACCGTGTCAATGTCATCCGAGTCCGCCGCCGCGCTTCAGCGCTACACCGCCTTCGTGGAGGAGATTCTGCGTCCGCAACTAAAGCAAACACTTGCTCACCGAGACGCACTAGCCCAGGAAGTGCACGAGTACCAAGAGCTTCGTGAGCTGCTGCAAGAACTGGCTCAGAATGCCAGCAATCCGGACAAATCGACACTGCACACGCTACTGGATGTGGGCGAGCGCTTCCACGTGCGCGCCAAGGTGCCGGACACGTCACTCATTACAGTGGACATCGGACTTAGTTTCCACGTCGAAATGACAGTCCCCGAAGCTCAGAAATTCGTGCAGAATCACCTTATCCACTTGACAGAGTACGACATTTCTAAATGTAGTTTTAGGCTAGTTATTTTCTCTGCTAACAATTCTTCTGCTGCAGGAAGAGGAACAAGTGGCAGGAGAAAGCTCGACAGGTGTCGGACCACGTGAATCTTGTCATCGCCAGCATCCAGCAGCTCGCAGCGTTACAGTGAGGTCAACTGGTAGTGACAATAGTACTTTTATCTACTTTTACCCGTGTAAAAATGCATTCGATGCGTTCTATTTCTGATGTTAAGCTAAATATGACGCGAGGTTTCGTCACCGAGGTCACAGGTCCGAACTCATTAGGACGAGAATGGAGCGATCTGTCTCTGTTTCTCTCGCTGCGTTGCCGTCGTCGAGGTCGCAGTTACTGCCCGTGAATGTTCGCAAGCCGATAATCGACCGCACAACGTCACAGCAGACTCACAAGCGGCCTTTAAAGCTAAACTCATCAGATGCAAACTCCAAGCGCTCGTCTCGGCTGAGAAGCCCATCAGCACTTAAAGACAATGGCCGTCGTCAAGCGAGACCTAGCACAGCAGCTGTCACGCTGTCATCTACCGAGATACTCAACAAGATCATCGGAACGTCGGAAGGTGCGTCGCCACAGCAACAAAGTCGGCCCGACAGCGCACCGCCAATCGCAGCAAGACGAGCTAGCGTCAACGCGCAATCTATTGCTCCACTCAAGGCCAATAGCACTTGGGCGACATCACCGTCTCGCTGTGCTGGATGCGGAGGGTTCGCAGAGATGTGTTTGTCGTGCTTTACGCAGTTTAAACAACAGGATGGCGCGCGGTACAAGACGCAGCTGGTGCAGGCGGTCGATTCGCTGTTCGCTAAGGCCACGACGCGAGCTTTTCGACGGATGGCGGCGGTGGTGGTGCAGTGGGTGTTCCAGGCGTGGAGAGCTGCTGCCAGGAGAGCCAAATGGAAGAGTCGGCTCGCAGTCAGGGCACTGCAGAAGCAGCGTATGCGTCGTCTCTGGAAATCGTGGCAGCTCTTCCTCTACGAGCGTCGAATCATCGGTGCCATGCTGTACGCAGAGTCGCAACAACGCGAGACCAAGGAGAAGGCGCAAGAAGTGGCCAAGCTGCACGGAGATGGCTTCGAGCGCGAGTCTGCAGCTCGGATCCATGAAGCCGTGCAGCGAGAAGTCGTCCAGAAGCTGGAAGCCCAGCTAGCAGCGCTGCAGAAGTCGATGCAAGCCAAAGACCGCGAACTACTGGAGCTACGAAGAGAACTTCGGGAGAAACACGCGCTCGTCAACGTGTTGCAGACGCAGGTCGTCAATCCCCAGGAACTGGATCGGCTGCGTGTGGAGAGCACAGAGTACAAAAAGGCGAGCTTCCACCTTGTGGCTGCACTGACGCAGTCGATGGAGACGCAGCTCGAAGTTCTCAGTACAAGTGACGGTCGACAGAACCTCAGCGACGTCTTCACACGAGACTTGGTGCAGGCTATGGACAAGCCGGAACATTCCTCGTTCTACAACCCTCTGGTCGACATGGAAGCAGCAGAAGCAAGCAGCGAGAAGCCTTCAAGCTTTGCACTGGCGTATGAGGCGCCAGTGGATCGAGCCGAAGCGATTCTGACGCAGTGGGTGAACTCTCTTGTCGCGCGGCAACCTCCAGATTGGCTGGCTGTGCCTCGTATGCACAACTTCCACTCAAGTCTGACCGACGGCAAGGTTTACACAGTGGTGACCAAGATGCTGCATGCAGCCATGTGTCGAAATCGCCCTCGACGACCTGCTGGCGGCACTGCGTCTCGACTGGAAGCCACGTCTGTTCTGAGAGAGAACGGTGAGGACCTGACTGAGATCAGCATGGGGCGATACGTGGAGCATATTCGACACGAGAGCTGCATCGAGAAGCGGCTGGAAGTGATGATCAACACACTGGGGCAGGCCATGTGGCTGCCTCTTGACTTACTCAACGCGAAGGACATTCGAGCAGGTCACGTCGAGTTCAACTTTGCAGCGCTTACCTACCTCTTCGTCACTTTCTCGCCGTGTCTTGCGCCAGACTACCACGCCTTGTGTACCGAGTTGACACAGCAATTGAAGGATGTGAAAGGGAAATGGCAAGAGCTTCAAGGCGATGACACAGCTGCATCTTCTGCCTCTACAGGCCCAACGACTGAAGAAGAATTGTCTTTGAGTATGCGCGTCAAGCTGGCACTATCGCAGACGCTAGAACTGAAGCGTCGAGTTGACACGGAAGACCTCAAGTCGCGTGAAGGTCATGCGCTCTGGGTCAAGGCGGAGCGTATCGTGATGCGGAAATGTTTCCTGTCTTATGCTCGCATAGCACGAGGGAAAACGGGCGTCTTAACCAAGACAAATGCGTCTCTACGTGACGAGAATGAGGCGTTCTCCAAGCTGCCTAAGCACAAGCTGCAGGACTTGGCGTTGCCCTATGAGGACTTTAACTGGGAAGCGAAATTGCTACAGAGTTATCTCGTGACGATCTACTGCGATCTCGCACGGATTTATCGAGGATATGCGACTCGATCTGGCGGTTCTACGGACACGATCAACGTTGGCGTCTTCGTTGAGTTGCTGACGGAGTGTCACGTACTGGAAGGCAACATGACCAACGCTGACCTGCAGCACATCATCCGTGTATTGGACCCAAAGAGCGTGAGTACATTTTTTGTTTTTTTACGTTATCACCTGACAGCTAACATGATTGTACGGTGGGTGCGTACAGAAAAACATGAACGCACATCGAGCTCTACCGCCTGTCGAGTTCTTGGAAGTGTTGATCCGAGTTGGACGCAAGAAATATCCCGTCGAGTACGTTGTGGTATTCTGCTGACAGCCATTACTCTCAACTGACATGGCTTCTCCTCTTTGATCCTATAGGACCAACCGCGTGACGATCTCGGAAACGTTTTGCTTGTTCGTGGACAACTTCATTTTGCCTTTTGCCTTCCGCTCCGACGCCGATTTGTTCCGCCAGCAGATCGAGGACACGACGATCCATCGACTGCTCATCAAATACACTGACGACCTCAAGAAACTGTACGAGAAGTACGCAGTCGAAGACCCCAAGCACAAGAACAAGAACGAGCGCGTCACTGCCTTCACCTTCAGCCAGTGTCTGCTGGATCGTGGAGTGCTGGACATGACGCTCACGTCGGACAAGATCCTAGGCATCCTCAGTAAAGTCTTGCGGAACAACGGGGGCCCGTCAGCTTCAGGTGCGTCACCCGCTTCGAAAGGCGGACGGAGAACAGCAGAAGACGAAGACGTGACGTACCCACAGTTCGAGGAAGCTCTCATCGCTGTGGCTTGTCATAAATTCCCAGATCCCTACGTCTCGCTTGAGAGCCGCGTCGAGAAGTTCTTCTCCGTCTACGTTCGCGAGCGAAGAGAGTGAGCCATAGACCCCATCTGGTTAAAAGCATCTATTCATCTCGTTACGCTGAAGATACGAACACAATCGACAGCGCTCCTGTCATGCCTAGCACCTACAGATACATACTACCACGCGCCGCTCCGTCTACGTCTCGCTCGTGTCTGTGGTTGTCATTGTCGTCGAGTCCCAGCCATTGACAAAGCCGCGCGTTCCATCCGGACCCTTGGCCATTCGAGACGCCACCATGGCGTTAGCGCCGACTTGGCGCATGGCTTCTTTAAGCGTCGAGTTCACCGATCGAGAGCCTCGACTTTGTGGCGCAGCTACACGGTTCGAAGACGACGAGAGACACAGGACACTCAACGCTTGACCGAGAAGAGGCTCTGCCTCCTTAGTAGCTTCCTCGTGCTTGGTCTCTTCTTCGTCTCCCTCTGTCTTGTCTTCCTTCTTCTTTTCCGAACGTGTAGTAGACGGCGGTCTGTAAGCGAGCTCGACGCGGTCACCTTCACTTAAGACGTCGCCACGCAGCACAGCACGAGCAGCGAATCGGGCCTCAATTACAGATTCATCGCCGTCTAGCTGGATAACACCACCAAGGTCTTCCGTGATGCGAGTGACGACACCTTGCTTGGCATGCGATGTAATGAGACGAATGTGAGCTGCGCGAAGACTCTTGGGCGTCACTTGAGGAATAAACTCCACTTCGTCGCCCTCACGCAGCACAACAGTCGGGTCAGCGATGTCGCGTATGTTGTACATGTAAACCTGTTTGCTCTTCTTCTTCGTGTCTTTCTTCTTCTTCGCGTCCTTCGACTCGGCTTCTGCGCCGCCACTCTCCTGTGCTGTCTCTTCTGCTTCCTCGGCTTCCTCGTCACTGTCTCCGTCCTCGCTTCCAGCCTCGTCTTCCTCATCGTCGCTACTAACAGCCAAGCGAATGCGTCCTACCGTACTCGCCTTGTTGTTCGCCTTCGTGAACCGTCCCTTAGGTCCTCCCTTCATGCGCTGCAAGAAACTCGCCTTGGTGACAACACCCTTCACACTTTCCGTCACCACAGTCTTGATCGTGCCTGTCGGTACTACACTAATGGCAGTGGCGCGGTTCTTCTTCTTCTTCTCATCCACAAAGACTGTGTACTGCACTTCCGTTCCTTCTTTCAGCTCCGCCAAAGTCTGCCCCGTCGTGATCTCCTTGATGTGGAAAAACAGGTTCTCTTCCAACGTCCCAGGCACAGTCTGAGCAGGCTGGATAAAGCCGAATCCTTCCGGTCTCACCGATACGATAAACCCTTCGCCTGTGGCTGCGTCAGTCTTCGTAGTGGCTGTCTTGGTCTTCGTAGACGCAGCCTCCACGCACTTGATAGCTTTGCATTGGAACTGCTTCGTCCGCTTGACCAGCACCAGATCAAACTTGACACGATCTTCCACACGAGGGTTATACCGCACGTCACTCACGTCATCTTCCAGGAACTCCACAGTCAGCTCAGGTGTCAGCTTCTCTTCCAGCGTCTTGCGAGAGATCTTCGCGCTTCCGACAATCTCTAGCTGGCGATGAGAACCTTCGCCACTGCTCTCATGCTTCAGACCAAGCCAGTCGCTGTACTCGTGCAACGCCGCACGCTCGTATTTGGACAAAGAGCTCGGGAACGAGACCCGGATTTCTGCCTTGGGTTTGTCTTCGTCATCAGCACCCTCAGCTGCCTCTACTGGGGTCTCCGTTGACGTAATAAACGCAGCATCCAGCTCCTCCTTGAGCTCCGGTAAGAAGTCAATCAAGTGCTGTTTGTCCGGCGTCACAAAGCAAATCTTGCCGGGCGCAAACTTGTGCAGCTGCTTCGTCTTGTCTCCACGACCACCTCGAGTCGAGTGGTGGCCTCTACGTGAGCTCGGTACCGCCACAATCCTGCCCTCCAGACCTTCGGCGGCGACGTCTTCCCACTTGATGGTCCCTCGAGGCAGAATCTGCAAACGTGTAGCTCGAATGTGGTCCGACTTGTTGTCGACGAGAACGTCAAACGCCACCTCTGTGCCATTATTGAAACTCCGACTCGTCCCCATCACATCCGAGAAACGAAAATACGCGTCTCCGGAGCGCTCGGCACATTTGATGAAGCCAAAATCCTCCTTCAAGGCGTTAATGACGCCAGTCTCGCGGTTCTTCGGGTTCAGCTGCACGACTCGAACCTTCACGGCCTTCACCTTGCCAGTACGCTTGTCCAAAACCTCGTCGAACGATACCTTGTCGTCGATATGCGGGATGTAGCTCATGTCCTCAGCGTCACACAAGCGGAACGCCACCTTCTGCTTCTTCGCCTTGCCATCTTTCCCCTTCTTCTTCTTCAAAGACTTGTCTTCACTCTCGTCAGCGGTAGCTTCCTTGCATTCTTCGCTCTCGTCAGCGTGACTTGACTCGGTAGACGCAACGGCAATGGCTCCAATGACCTCAGGACCGTTCCGCGGTTCTTTCGGGAGCTTCGCCACTAGACCTTCGACATCAGAGCGCAGCAACGTCTCAAAAGACACCGAGCCAGGAGGAAGTTTCTGCACACGAAGCGCAGTCAGTCGCGGTCTGGAGCGTCCCGAGTCGTCCTCGTTGTCCTCGTACACGAAGAACGACACTTCGTCGCCCTCACGCATCGACGGCCCCTTTGCTTGCCGTCCAGGACGAGACTTGTCTTCAGTGTCAGTCTCCAACTTCTTGTCGCTCTTCTCAGCTTCTTCCGACTCGCGAATCTCGTGGAAAGGGAAGTAAACGTCCACTGGACGATCGCAGCACTTGATGAATCCACCGCCGTTCTTCACGCGGTCTACCACGCCCGTCTCGCGCGTCATCGTAGCCAACTTGGCTTCAATCGCCTTGTCCAGTTTCTCGCGAGCCGAGGCTGTGATCGTGATGTCCACAGCACGCTTCGCTCCAGTTTTACGGTGTCTGGCGATACGGAAACGCACCTCATCACCAAAGTGCGGGATCAGGTTCTTCTTGGGTCGTGCCGACTGCTCCTGATCGTCCTCACTAGCAGCGACGCTCTCAGCGGTGAAGTGCACAAACTCGCGTCTAACGAGCGTCTTCTTGCTCTCTTCCTCTTCATCTTCTCCAGTCTGTTCCTGCTCTTTCTCATTCGTATTCTCCTCTCCCGTCTCGCTCCTCTTCACCTCAATAAGTCCATGTTCCTCACGTCGGCGGTCGTCATCGCGGTTGTGAAAGAATCCTCGTCCGCTTCCATGTCCTCCACGAGGCAAACTCTTGGTGACGACCCCGTCGTAACACTCGTCTGAGACCTCCTCCACTTTGATGCTTCCCTTGGGCAAAGCCACCAGCTGGCAGGCCATCTCCTTGTCCGAGCGTTGGTTGTATTTGACACGGAATTCCACCTCGTCCTGCAGCTGGACGTCCACGGGAGCCTCCGAGATATGGAAGAACAGATCTCCGTCTCTCTCCATGCAGCTCACGAAGCCGAAATTCTCCTTAATGGACACGATGAAGCCCTGCTCCACGGGCATGTCACGGCCAGCTTCTCCGCCTCGGCGGTCGGCGTTGTGTCCCCAGCGCGAGGTGTCGGCACGCCCTCCACCGTCGTAGCGTCCTCCATCGCGATCAAAGCGTCCTCCTCGGTCATTGTCTCGGTCGTAGCGTCCGCCTCGGTCGTAGTCTCTGTCGTTGCGTCCTCCGCGGTCATGTCGTCCGCTGCCGTAGTTTCCTCTGTCCCGATCAAAGCGTCCTCCTCCGTGATCTCTGTCCCGATCAAAGCGCCCTCCTCCGTTATCTCTATCCCGATCATATTGTCCTCCCCCATAGTCTCTGTCCCGCTCAAAGCGACCCCCTTCGCGGTCAAAGCGACTTCCTCCGCTGTTATTTCTGTCCCGGTCGAAGCGTCCACCGCTGTTGCTGCGCTCATATCCACCGCTTCTCGGCGCGGGTGCAGGTGCAGGTGTGGCATCCGGGGTGGGCGACGCTAACGTGGGCGTCGGTAGAGGCGACGTGTCCTCGTCTTCGGCGGCCCAGTCGCCGGGCTTTGGAGACCGAAACATCTTGCTCTTCTTCGACTTAGATGGGTGGCGATCCAAACCACACCGACTCAGCAACGGTAATCAGCCGATTTACCGGTGCTCTGCTTACTCAGATCCTGTCTGATTCCTTCTCGGCGTCAGGTTTGCTCTACAATCGTCTGCTTACTCAGATCCGGCTGATTCGTGCTCTTATTCTACAAAAACGCTTTTTTGGATGGAATCAGTCAGCATTTCAAATCTGATTATTCAGATATCCACACGCAAAACCGTCGAGCGGGATACTGACTGCTAAAAACTGTCGACACGACAAGATGACGTTGACATTCTTGAAGTGCTCATTGCAGCGCGTTTGCTCACTTTCAAACTCATCGCAAAGCCCGCAAGTGCAATGGCAGTCGAACTGAAGGATCTGGCTCCGCTACTGCTCAAGAAGGAGCGCGCCAATGGCGACATCAACCCGGCTGTGCTTACCAATGTGCTGCGCGATGGCAACGCCGCCAACAGCCGCCGCAAAGAGCTCATCAAGGTGATCGAGCAGCATCCAGTACTTTCCGACCGCGACATGATGTTCCGCAACCACACAGAACGCTATGAGTTCGGCCTGAAGAAGGCCTTCCACTACGTGAAGCTGCTTCAAGACGGAGGCTACACGGACCCGGAGGACCAGCAGATTTTGTACAAGGCGCTGGGAGAACCGCTCGGCTTCGACGTGCACCGAGCCATGTTCATTCCTACACTGGAGAACCAGGGAACCGACGAGCAACGCGCCAAGTGGTTGCCATTGGCTAGAAACTACAAGATCTTCGGTGCGTATGCGCAAACGGAATTGGGCCACGGGTCCAACGTGCAGGGCATCGAGACGGTCGCGACGTACGATAAGGCCACTCAAGAGTTCATCATTGACTCGCCCACTCTGACAAGTCGCAAGTGGTGGCCTGGAGGTCTGGGCAAGACTGCCAACCATGCCATCGTGCATGCAAGACTGTACTTGGACGGCAAGGACGTGGGTGTACAGGCGTTCCTAGTGCAGATCCGATCGATGGAGGATCACCAGCCTCTGCCTGGTATTGAGGTGGGGGATATCGGTCCGAAGGTCGGTTTTAACGGTGTGGACAATGGCTACTGTGCCTTCCATAAGATCCGCATCCCACACGATAATATGATGATGAGATACGCGAAGGTGTTGCCGGATGGAACGTTCGTCAAGCCGAAAAGCGACAAGCTGGTGTACTTGACGATGGTGCAGGTCCGTGCATACATGATCAAGACTGCTGGGCAGCAGATGGGAGCTGCTAGTACAATCTGCACTCGTTTCAGTGCTGCTCGTATCCAGGGACGCACTCCGGATAACAAGGGTGAGTTCCAGGTGCTCGACTATCAGAACCAGCAGCACAAACTCTTCCCTCTCATTGCAGTTTCGTACGCTGCGCTGTTTGCCGGTGTGTCTCTCGTGGACATTCATGACTCGGCGCTGAATGTGATCAAGAAAGGTGGACAATCCTTCGGCGCTAAGCTGGCAGAGCTCCACGCCGTGTCGTCGGGACTCAAAGCCTGGCTTGCCGAGCGTGTGAGTGACGGGATTGAAACGTGCCGTCGTCTATGCGGAGGTCACGGCTTCACGCAGTCCAGCAACTTGGCTCACTTGTTCGCTGAGATGGTCGGTGCCAACACGTACGAAGGCACGTCCGATGTGCTGGTTCAGCAGCATGCACGGTACCTGCTGAAGACTCTCGCCTCTCTTCCTGTGAACGAGGAGTCCACCACGTTTTTAAACCACGTGAAGCGATTCAGCGACGCTAAACTACGTTGCAAAGCTCAAACACCCGACGATTTCGGAAACCTCGAACTTCTCCTCGAAGCTTTCCAGACACGAGCTGCGCGTATCGTTCTGGCGCTGGCCAGTCAAATGAAGGCAACGAAGAACGACGGCAATGCCTGCATGGTGCTCATGACACGTGCTTCTGCTGCTCACGCCGAGTTGATTCTGCTTGAAGCCTTCATCCACGGCGCACAGAACCTACCTGCTGGCTCTGAAAAGGACTCGGTAACGCAATTGTGCTCGCTCTTTGGCGCTTGGCTTATCACCAAGTCGCTTGGAGACTTCCGTCAACACGACTACCTCTCGTCTCAGCAAGTTGACCTTGTTCAGAGCCAGGTCGTGCGCTTACTTCCGGTCATCCGCAAGAACTGCGTGCTGCTCACAGACGCCTGGGACTTCAGCGATTTCGAGTTGAACTCGACTATCGGTCGCTACGACGGTGACATCTATCGTGCCTTGGTGAAGCGCGCTGCCGACGAACCTTTGAACAAGACGCAAGTTCCAGATGGGTACGAGAAGTTTTTGAAGCCGCTTATCCAGTCAGACTTGTAGGGTGACTCGAGCACGTACGTGGATAAGCAACAGTGCTTCTATTATTTTGGTTACACTAGCTGTTCTTGATCCAACCAACCCGTACAAAATGTCTTTATGTTTATAAAAGGAGCTTAATGTCGATTTAGGTTTGAAATTCATTGCCGCTAAACTAGAGCTGTGAGGCCTCAATTGGGCTAAACCCTGGTCTGTGTGTCCCTGATGACGCGCTTGCTTGCGTTCCCCCACCCTTCAGCTTCTCAGTGAAACGAAGAGGTGCCAATGGATAGCACTTGCGCACGTAGGATATGGGATGCGTATGCTAGTACTCCATGGGCAGGCGTTCTGCAAACTCTAACGTGGTGTCTTTAACCCACGTTGATGAAGATGTTTTCCCATCATAAGTGTCCTAGGCGCCGCCTCCGTAAGTACCGGCGTCGACTCGCTTGCGCCAAGATGACTACTTCTGCCAGTTATCCGCGTGCTCTTGGGATTATAACGACTACGAGCGAGACTTAATCCTCGGCCGCTATGACGTATTGCGCTCTAGCTAACGACGTGCCTCTCAGCCAGTAAATTGGTACCTGGTACCACTTCTCTGGCATTCGTCCAAGAAACTTTAATTCTTTTTTTTCATCCAATCATTGGCTGCTGCATGAACACTGGTCAACATCAAAATGACGCAGGCGCAGGAAGTGCTGAGCTTCTGGTTCGACGGCGACCAAACGGAGACGTACCGCAGCAAGTGGTTTCCCTCCGATGGGTCAGACATACAGAAGGTAACAGACGTCGAAGTTGCAGCGCAATTCAGCTCGTTATTGGCTCGTGCGGAGGCTGGAGAGCTCGAGAGCTGGCGTGACGAGAGTCCCGACACTTGTGTGGCGTTGATATTGGTCTTAGACCAATTCTCTCGCCACGTTTATAGAGACCTCAGTGTTGTAACGAATGAAGAGCAACGTAAACGCAACGATGTTCACGCTCTAGCGATTGTAGAGCAGAGTTTGCTCCCTAAGCGTTGGCACGAGTCGCTTCCTGTGCCACGCTTTGTCTTCGCCTTGATGCCTCTGCGTCACTCTCCTACACCTGAGCGACTCACTGACGTTTTAGCAGCTATTGAAGCGCGCCGCCAATTGCAAGAACAGCATGGAGATTTATTAGAGAAGTTCCGACGTACGACCACCGAAAGATTGCAGCATCTGCGAGGAGGTCCGGAGAGCGAGACGACCGGCATTTCCGACGATGATATCCTAGAACGCGCTTATATGGAGACAGATGAGAGTGACATGCCCAGGAATCGACTGTACCGTGTGATGGATGAGTACTTAGCGCAGATGAAAGCTTCTGAGTATTCCCACATGGCTGTCTCGCTGTCAGGAGGTGTCGACTCGATGGTGGTAGCGTACTTGATGCACAAGTTGAAGGAGAAACACGGAGACTTTACGATTGTAGCAGTGCATTTGGACTACGGAAACCGACCCGAGAGTGGAGCTGAGTGTGACTATGTGCGACGATGGTGCGAGCGCTTTGGCATCGTCTTCCATGTCCGCCGGATCGACGAAGTGAAGCGCGCAACGACGCGACGTGACGACTATGAGAAGATCTCGCGTGAGATACGATACTCTACGTATGCAGAGGTGATGCAGAAGTATCATATCCCCGGTATGTGCTTTGGACACCATCGCGGCGACGTACAGGAGAACGTCATCTCGAACATGATGAAAGGGCTGAGTCTGCTCAACTTGAACGGAATGCAAGCGAGTAGCGTCGTGAACGGTGTGCGGATCTGGCGTCCGCTATTAGACTTGGAAAAAGACGTCATCTTTGAGTTCGCACATCGATACGGTGTGCCATATTTCAAGGACACGACGCCCAAGTGGAGTACGCGAGGTAAGCTACGTAACCACCTGGTGCCCTTGCTCAGGGACATGTACGGCGACGGGTTTCTCAATAATCTCTCGGCTCTTGGCGCGGAGTCAACGCAATGCGCTGAACTTGTGGACTCGCGAGTTCTCGCTCCAATCATGAAGACTGTCGGACAGAGCGACGTGGCGGTGTGGGTGGACTGTGGGCTGCTCAAGGACCAGTCGTTCTTCGTGTGGAAAGAAGTGTTCCGTCAGATCTGCCACTCCATCATGGGCAACAGTATGGTACGCGAGAAGCCATTGCACGAGTTGATCCAGAAACTGCAGCGGTTAGACGCTGGACCTGTGGGTAAGGCCAAGCACAAGAACAAGGACGCCGAGGTGGGGTCGTGGGTTACGCTCAAAAAGGGTAACCGGTCATTCCTGACCAAAGACAAGCAGCTCATCATCTTCCGCGACCAGTTCTTCCCTCGTAAACCATACGTCGCGTCTCAGTTCCCTCTACTTGCCGGCGAGACGTATGAATTTGGTCCTTGGAAGGTACAAACGGAGCTGCTGGATGTCGATCATGCTACAGTTCAAGAGCTGCGAGACTGCAAGACTTTGACTGTGTGGGATCTGGTACATGCCAATGGATTGTCCTACGTGTTCCCCAATGCCCCACAATTGGTGATCGACTGCGCCTCACGACTCCACGTACTGCGTGCCATCGAAAAGGTCATCACGGACAATATGCCTATTGTTTCTTCAGTCGGTGCTTTCGATGAAGCCACTTCAAAATGGGTACATGTGAAGCTGACCTATTCGCAATAGACTGTCACTAAACTGAAACTCATTATTTCCACCAATTAGAATCAACGTACCGATATTATGGTACACGTCCTTTTGACTGGCCCAACTCCATTTTCCAATTAGTGCTGTACCATCTCGTTCTTGTTGCGTCTCTTCTCGTCATGTCGGAGCTGACCCCCGAAGCCTCCCGCCTGTACCGCGTGCGTAAGACGACGGTCAAGATGCTGCACAACCGCAGCTACATTGTGAGCGAGAACGAGCTGGTGATGACGCCCGAAGCCTTCCAGACGCAGTTCGGCGACAACCCGACGCGCGAGATGATGACGATTCTCGTCGAGAAGATCGACGACCCGAGCGACAATTTGTTTGTGTTTTTCCCCGAAGACACCAAAGTGGGCGTTAAGCCCATCCGCAACTACTGCAACCGCATGAAGGACGAGAACGTGACCAAAGCCATCCTCGTAGTACAGGAAGGCATCACCCCTTTCGCTCGTCAGGCGCTGAATGAAATGGCTCCACGTTACAAGATTGAGCACTTTAAAGAGACGGAACTGCTCGTGGACATCACGGAGCACACGCTTGTGCCTGTGCACCGTGTGCTCGACCGAAACGAGAAGGCGGCGCTGCTTAAGCGATACCGTATCCGTGACTCGCAGCTGCCACGTATGCAGGTGACCGACCCCATTGCGCGCTACTACGGTTTGAATCGTGGCCAGGTGGTCAAGATCATTCGGCCCTCGGAGACAGCTGGACGCTATGTCACGTACCGTGCTGTCATCTAAAGAAGTAGCCATCTTCATGATGGATACATGATGTAGCCATCTTCAATAGATATTTTTTTCAAGCCATATTGCTGTATTGATTTTAGTCGCTTTCAAAGAGATCGGACTCGTATCCATCATCAGAGGCGGGTTTCTTTGTCGGTGTGGGCTTACGAGGGTCATTTTTCTTCGGAAGAGCACGGATGAAAGATGGCTTCACACGTTCCTCCTCGTCTCCGTCATCGTACGAGATATCGCAGCATCCGTTAGGATGCACTCGCTCAATTGTACCTGGATAATACGATCCTTTACCACCACCGAAACGAGCTTCCACGCGGTCACCTCGAGAGAATTCCGGTTCAAATTCGTCGTCCGAGTCTTGCTTCGGTTTAGATGTAGGAGCTTTATTACCAACCTCAATTTCTTCGTCACTGTAGCCATCTTCATCGTTATCGGGAACGAGCAGTTCTGGAGCCAAGCGCTCGAGAATCTTTTGCGGAGACCTAACGAGCTTGACGTCGTACGTGCTCTCCGTTCGACACTTGCAGATTTTCCCTCGCAGATACTCAGTGCGCTGTCGAACCATAACTCGATCTCCGTCACGATACACTGTAGGCATCGGGTTCTCACGAGTTAATGCGCTGCGTGGCAAACGCTTCAGTGTTTGAGCCAATCCGAACTCGTCCACTAAGACGTCGAACGTCCCGTCAGTGCGACACAAGATAATTTTCCCTTGTCGTCGAGTTTTGGTGCCTTTATGAGCTATCGTGACTCGTGTACCCATGTTAAACCCTTGTGATATCTCGCGTTGTAGTTCATCCTCCACGTCCAGCAAGTGCAGGCCGCTGAACTCGACGTTGCGTAAGTGCCGTCCACTGTCAAAGTGTACGTCAGCCACGAAGTAGTCTCGATAAATGCGTTCAATTGTGCCTCTGCCATGCACCATACTCGCCACTCGCGCTCCTGGTTGGAAGCTTCGTCTAAATTGACGGTGAGGTGATCGCGTACTCTCGTTTGAAGACGTGTCGGTCTCCGTAGAAGTGCCGGAAGAGCTTGATCGGTGGCGGCGGCTTCTTCTCTTGTGTCTTGAACGACTTCGATGGCGTCTCGACCGAGTGCTGCGCTCTGAGGCTGTGGAGTCTCTGTCGCTATCTTCTTTACCGTCGTCACTGTCATGTTTCCTGTGACGAGATCTTTCGTGTTTTCTTGTCTTCTTGCTCGTTTGTCGTGCTTCTCGGTGTTGCTGTTTACGTCGAAGTTGCTCCACTTCCTTTTTCCACTGGGAACCGTTGGATTCTGCAACTTTTCTCCTCAAGAACTCGTCGTAGTCAGGTCTGCTCTTATACACGCGATGGCGAGGACTCTTACTAGCAGTTCGCGACTTACGTGACGCTTCTGTGTCCTTGATATCGAGAAGGAGATCTTGAGGGAAACTCTGGTTGGCGTCGAGTCGCTTCATGAGTCTGTGGAAGGCCGTTCGAGAGATATCTCGACGACGGATCCTGCCCAGACCTTCACGCTCGAGATAGCGCAGCACTTGCTCTCGTGACAAGGCAGCACCCAGCTCCAGCGCTGCTTGAGCCGCTTCAACTGCGTTCAGCATACAACCTTCTTCTTCGTCCTCGCTGTCCTGCTTGCCGTCGTCGCTGGAGCTACCAATTTGCGCTCTTCGTCGTCTTACAAACCGATCAAACGCTTCATCCACTTGCTGTTCACGTTTGCTTCGTCTCGGAGACTTCTCGTCGTCACTGTCTTGAGCCTTTGCCTCTCTATCGGCAAATTTTCCATCATCTTCGTGAGATTTACGCTCCTTTGTGTCCTTCTTGTCGTCGTCTTCCGGAGGTTGGGGGCACATTCGCACGTGTCCAGAGCTGTGCAAGTGGACCACTCGACTCCGATGCGCCAACGCGTCATTACGAAGAGATCGTTTGATGGAGGCGGCCTCTTGTTCACGAGCGTACATTTCAGCTGCAAACTCCAAGCAAGCTAACGTGAATTCAGGGAAGGTCAGAGTAGCCATCTTCTTCTTGTTCGAGCTATCACCATTCGCATGTGACGGCCAGAAACTTGCACACCAAACGCCAACTTCATCGCTTGAGACAGCTGGAAACAGAGTGGAAAGAGCGCGTTGCACTACTGTGCGAGGCTTGAGTCGCGAGGAGCGAACTGGTTCATAGGATGTGAAGAGCTGCTGCAGTCTGGAGACCCCGCTGGTCTCATGAGAGTCCACGAGTCGAGCGTACCGTGCGATGAACTGCGCAAAGTCCATAGCATCACCGGAATTGTCATTGTCTTCCTGTGCGTCCAGCCACCGACAGGCGAGTTCTGAGCTCTGCGTATCGCTCTGTCCAAGCTCTTGCAGCAGTCGAACCAAACCAGTTTCATCGAGAGAATTCCCGTGAGCTTGGTGCTCGAAACATTGCCGTAGATTCTTGAGATCCAGCACTGGAAGTCTCGGGCCGAATGCGTGTACTGCAAACGCTCCTTGCGTCACCGTCGACGTATCTGCTGGTTGTGTAGCCAGCTTGGAGAACGCTCGGGTGAACGCTGCGAATGAAACTTTACCTGCACTTGCAGCCTCCTTTCCAAACAACTCTTCACTGTGTAGTAAGCGCTCTACCGCCAGTGGCGTAGCCTCCACTGAATCGTCTTGATTAGCTGCTGGAATTGAGCACCGAAGACGCGACAGAGCTTGTTTTACTTGGGTAAAGTCGAGAAACCCATCGTGGTCAGCGTCAAGCCGGTCGAACGTTGTCTTGAGTTGCGCTATTGCACTCACTCGGTCGATGTCAAGCACAGCTAGATAGTCTGCTAGCTGTGTGTAGTCAAGCCCCCGAGCGAGCAGCTCTCGATCTCGTAGTCGATCGAGGTGTGTCAGCAGCTTGGAGCGATGCAATGGGTGCGTGATCCCGAGTAGAAGCTGCAGGTCACTTCCTTCTAGCAACACTAACGTACATCCGTCGACGTTGTTTCGTTCGAAAACGTCTCGATACTGGGGCAACCCAACGTCTTGCTCCAGCCACTTAAGAACGTCGTCTGTTGTCCATTGCTTGACTTCCAGAGGGGCTTGGTCTGGTGCTAGTGGGGTTCGAACGGGAGGTTGTTTACTCACGGATTTTGTGAGTATCTGCGTGAACTCAGAATGTCTTGCTCGTGGGAATAATACCGAGCTTCTGGTATCTTCGGTCTCTCCTAGAGCGTTCACAAGGTACACGGGGAAGTCTCCGCAATCTGCCAGAAGCTCACGACAGCTACCGCAAGGAAATGGCAGCAACTCACGTTGTTCACTACAGATCGCCAGGGCTGCTATGGCAGGACTTGAAGTTGCAGAAGACGTGAGCATTTTCATGACTGCAGCGTGTTCAGCACAAAGCACGAGCGCTCCGTTCTCGACTGCTCCAGCTGAATAAATAGTTTGAGACTCGGTGAGTACAGCAGCTCCGATGCCGACACCGTTCGCACGAGAAGATCGAGCTTCGCGTGCTGCAGCCTCCAGAACATGCTCCTTCTCTCGCTTCCGTCCACTCGATTCCGCCAAGACACCCGAAAAGTGTCGTCTGTACAAGGTTCGACGAGCATCAAGGCGTTGCTGTAACATTTGATCATCTTCTGAGGTCTCCTTGTTACGGTGATACAATACAGACTTGCTGCCACAATCTCCAAGGTGACGAGAGCTGGAATCGAGGCCGTAGACTGCTTCGAGGCCTTGCATTTTGGCTGATAGAAGAGTTTGACGTTCTTTTGATCCGGTCAGATATCGATCATGGCGATGTCGCTGTTCAACTTGACGCTGAGGTTTGTAAGCAACTTTTGTATTCTTTCTCTGCTTGTGAGCACGAGCTTCTGCTCTTGCAAGTCGCAGCACACGGTGTAGATCATCTTCGAGCTGGTTCGACATAGCGATGTCAATGTGAAAATACTTCAAAGTGATGCCATTCTTGACTACCATCTCATGGCTACACAAATAGTTTGCATTTCTTCTTGCGATGATACAGCTACAGCTACCGAAAAAAACACTTCAGGTAAAAAGTCAAATTTTGCAGTCTATTGTCATATTTGTGGTTGTCTCAATAGCGATATGCACGTCAGCACTTATGCGACTTCCCGAGCTGGTTCGCCGGCCTCTTGTCGCGTCTGTGCGTCTGTCAGTTTGTCTGTCCTATGGATCTTGTCGCTATTGGTGCTGTGTTGTTCCCCGTCTTCGTCTTCTGGCTTGGCTTCCTCTGACGCTGTTGGCGTCGATACCTTGACAGGGGCGTCCGAGCTGTCACTTGTCGTCTCTGTTGTGTCTTGCTCTACCGTAGCGGGGGTCACAGGTGTCACGGGTGTGATAGAAGCCTGCGTGGTAGCGACACTGCTGTCATCTCCCTCCGTCGCTGTCTCGTCGCCCACTTCAGGGTGGAAATGCCTCATCTCGTCCCAGATCAGTCTCTGCAGCACGGGTTTCGTCAATTTCTCGTTCTCAAAGTCAAAATCGAAGCTCGAAGTGGCGGTCGTCTCGTCCTCCACATTCCGGATCGCAGCCAAGTACGGATGGGCCAGCGCCTCGTCCACACTAATCCGCTTATTCGGGTCAATCACCAGCATCTTCTGCAGTAAATCCAGAGCGTCTGGAGGCGAATCTGCGAACATGTGCGCCAGAGGCTTCGTCGGGTTGGGTCCGCGCTTCTGGAACTCGGCGTTCATGAACTTCCTAGCACGCGCGTTGCTCAAAAAGTAGAGATCCTGGTCGTTTGGAGCCCCCAGCGCGTTCATGATGAGATGCAGCTGATCAATGTAGTCCTGTCCCGGGAAAAGAGGCTTGCGCGACATCATCTCGGCGAAGATACAGCCCATGGACCAGACGTCCACCTCCCGAGTGTACTTCATACACCCCAGCATGATCTCCGGCGCTCGGTACCATCTTGTGACTACGTATTCTGTCAATTCCAGCTCTTCTTCGGGGAAAACGCCTCTCGCCAGTCCGAAGTCGCAGATCTTGAGCTCGCAGTTGGCGTTCACCAGGACGTTGGACGGCTTCAGGTCTCGGTGGATCACGTTGGCCGAGTGCACGTACTTCATGGCACACAGCATCTGGTACATGAAGAAGGCGATGTGTTCGTCCGACAGCGCGTGTCTCGAGTAGATGACGCGGTGGAGATCTGTAGCCATCAATTGGGACACAATGTACACGTCTTCGAACTTGGACAGCGCCACGGGCTCGAAAATGTCCTCCACCCCAAGCACGCACTTGTGGTTCAAGTGGCGCATGAGCTTAATCTCGCGTACAATGCGCTTGGCGTCCGTCAGGTCGTCGAACGCGCGCTGGATGTTCTTAATTGCCACCGTGGTGCCTGTTTGCGAGCTCGTAGCGGAGATGACGACTCCGTAGGCGCCCGAGCCGATGGTTTTGACATATTCGAAATGAGAGGGAATCTCAAATCTTGTATTCGATGTCATAAAGCATTGCGTCCCGGGGCGTGTCGCGGGCAGATATTTGGGTTTATTGGCGGCGTTGGCGGCGGCGGCGGCCTCGTCCGCTCGCTGCTTCTCTCGCAGCTTCTTGGCCGCCTCGGCGCGACTGCGTTCCTCTTGTTTTATATCCTCGGTCGCTTGCTTCCCGTACGTGACAAAACTGCCGTCTTTTGAAGGCACCATGGCGTGGTTCCAGCGTATCGCTTCTTGGAGGGCGTTCTTCCAGGCTTCATACGACTTTTGGTCCTCCGCCTCGAGTACCATGACCTTTGTACCGCAGCGCAACTCGAGACGACGCGGGTATTTGGTCGTGTTGACGTGTCCCAACAAGTGTCCTGGTCCGATGGGCGTCTCGGAGCATAAAGTCAGAGAGTCCTTGCTGGTATAATACCCTAGAGTCATGTGTCGCTCCTCGAGTCGCAGTATAAAGTAGCGGCGGGACCACATTTTAAGTCGCAGGCCCTGCTTGAGCAAATACCCTTCCTGTATCACGTCGGCCGAGCGGAACACCACGGCCGGACCAGAACGGCTTGGAATCGCCTTGCCGTGCAGCCACATGGAGAAGAGCGAGCGGTTCTTCGTCACGTACACGCCGTCTCCATTCTTGTCCTCAGATGCGCGACCAGCGCCGTCCTGTGAGCTCATTGCGGGCGGTGGGAAGGCTGAAGCTACTTGGGCGGTTACTTGCCGACTGTCGGAGTGTGGAATGAGGTGGCGAGTACAATGATTTTTAACTGTAGTAGTTGATATCTGACATTTTAAATAACTGTGAAAAGCGTTTCTTGCGACAGTGCAAGACTGTGCTGATCATGGTGTCTCTTTTCATTTTTGATTTTATTAGCTGATAAGTTTGTGGTATTTAGTTTGTTGAATGATATCGAAAACGAAAGGGTTTGTGGTATACGTCGTTTCCGGCTGTGCGATTTGCGATGAAATATTAGGCTGGGGAGTTCGAACCTTCTGCTTGCGAACGCCGCGGAGACCTGGTCTTGATGGTGCTCAGTTCTGAGTGACTCAGCGAGGAATCCTCACTAAGAATGTCGTGGTAATCAGTGAGGATGTCGTGGCATCACAGTTCGGTGGTGCCAGCACCGCGCCTTGTTTTCAGAGGAAACGCTTCGAATTACCGGTATGTAGGTCTACTGTGCATGTACTCGCTGAATACATTCCGCCTCCCAAGTCCGACGCAGCGACTTCAACAACAACTCAACGAGCCCAACGACGGCTGCACCGAAGTTTTTTGTCTTCATTCGTGCGGGTCTTCGCTGTCAGCTCATTGTTGCCTAGAGAAATCCACAATAATGACTCAATCGTGTCATTTCAAAAGTTTTTGTTCTGCTTGGTTTCACTTGCCCATCACGCAAACTGCAACTTACCCAACACGATATTTGCAAGAAGTAATCTACTTCTTCGCCTTCTTCAACGGCTCTGGGACCTCTGGAAGACGGTCACCCGGATTGCTGCACTCCAGCAAAGGTTCAATGAAGCCCATTGAGATGGCCTGGAAGTGCTGGCGTCGTCTCCACAGATTCGGCAACAGTTGCGGTGGCACTGGCGTTGATCCCATTCCTGTCATGCACTCAGGCCACTCGCCTTTACCGGAAGGCTCACGTCGCACTTGGCGTGGAGTTACGTGGGTCGGCATCATGTTAAACACGAGGTTCGGTTGCAACAACTTCAGTTTGTGGAGCCGGAACGGCACAGGATCCACGAGAGACCGGCCGTTCACGTACAGCAGCTCGGCTGGAGCGCTGGCGTTCAATGTCGGCTCAAAATGGGCTAAACTACCACACAGCGTGTCCGGGTGGCGCTCCATATCCTTGTTTGATGTAGCCGATACAACACTGGCGCCCCACGGCGAGAAGAAGTACGGAGTGTGCGAGAACTCGTACGATAGCCAGAAGGCCTCTTTGTCACCCCATGAGAACTCGTAGATAAAGCGGTGCTCGGTGATAAGAAACCACAGTACGCTCATAGCTTTCTCAGCGTGTCGTTTGTTGATCAACAACATGGACGAGTCCTGTTCGTGAGCTGTTTTGCCACGGTATGCGAATGATTTCTTGAGCGCTGGTGACGGGTCAGTGAATGTGAGCCCGAAGCGCTTGTAGTCGAAGCTCTTGAGCCACTGGTGCAGGTAGATCGAACCTTTATCCGTCTTCTTGTTCAGATACTGGTTATTGTTGATCACGCGGTCGTAGAAGAACAGCGTGCCATTTTTTTTGTATCCTTCGTTATGACGCAGCACCGCAGGATCTTTCAGCAAAATCGCATCAGCGTCGAGGAAAATGAGCTCTTCGAAGCTGGTGAAGTGCATGGCCAATGGCTTGATCCAGTAGCTTTGAAAACTCCTGGCCATTGTGTCCGAGAGAACCTTCTTAATGACATACCGTTCACACAGATCGATGACCTGGATGTTGTCATCCAGACCAAAGAGAAGATCGACGGAAGGTTTCGTGAGATCGTGACAGTGATGCACCTCAATCGACTCCTTGTTGCCGAGACAACGCAGCTCACGAATCAGAGAAATACCTAGCTCCAAAATACCGTCGTGCAAGCACAAGAGGATGCCCTTCGATCCCTTCTTGATGGCTTGGCGAGGCTCTGCAATACGCTTCGGCTTCTCCGAAGGTTTCGCAGTTGGCTTCTCGGTAGGATTTTCGGTGGGCTTCTCGGTAGGCTTCTTTGTAAGCTTTTCTGTAGGCTTCTCGGTAGGCTTCTCTGTAGGTGCTAATGTAGGTGCTACCTTTGCCGTTGTTGGTGTTTGTGTTGTTGGTTCTGGTTCTACAGAAATCGACACGTAACCAGATGAGGTTGAAGCTTCCAGCGACGTCCACGACTCCTTTAGCTTAGCATCAGATATCACCGCTGCGTTATGTGCTACCAAGGAGAAGATTTCCTGCATTCCCGCACTACGGATATGTCTTTCACCGAGACCCCTTTCACTCACGAACGCATATTGTTGTGATAGTGAACACACACTGCAGAAGAGCATGAACGCTCCTAGTCCTCGGATGTACACATTGCTAAGGAAGCGACTATCGCGAATCCGAGTTCCCCACCCAAATGCCGGCATGATACGATCGGATACTCTTGTGATGAAGTGCCGGGTTTTCACGAAGTGCGATCTTCTCGTTGCGTCGCTCCTTCAACGCAACTCCTATCAATAGTGGAAAATGCGATCGGTCAGTTGCCGTGCCATCTAATTCACAGGAGAATGTCAAAGCTGCGTAACTCCTGAAGGAGTTTCATGACAAGAAGAGTGTTGATCCAACGAAAATCATTGTTGCGGGCTCGCAAATATTAATCAACATTTATTTTTACTCAATGTGGGTAAAGAAATGAGAATATGAAGTTAAGCTTCTTGGAAACCACGAGCGACACCCTGTTCCTCGGCCTGTTGGGAGGCGAAGAAGTTAAAGATTTGCTCCAGTGACGTCTGCGAGACGCTGTACTCTCGGATGTGCATCTTGTCCTTGATATCTTCCACAAGCGCAAACACCTTCGACAAGCGCAACTCCTCGTTGGACCCACGCAACTTGAAACGGCAGAAATCGTTTTGACGCTCCATCACGGACACGCCACCGTGGCTGAACGAGTAGCTGAGGAAATGGAGCAACGCATCGAAACGCGTTTCCTCCAAGCACCACGACAGAAAAGCTTCTGCACGAATGTATCCATCTCGTTCCAACACAGCAGCAAGGCCGTACCCGGTCGGGTGGGAAGCCACCACTCGCTGAGCTAGTTCCTGGTCTCCGAACGCCCTGCACTTGTCCTCCAGATCGTCACGAGTCACGATCTCTTCGGCTCCTCCAAAGTGTCGTTGAACCAGTTCATCCAGCTCTTCCTGGGACGGATTGGCCAGCTTGACGTCGAAGACTAGACCATCGCCGAAGCGAGACTTCAAGTGCTGTACACTACCCAAGCATCGCAGACGACCACCCGCCATGATGCCGACGCGTGAACACAGCGCCTCTGACTCCTCCATACTGTGCGTCGTCAGTACGATCGTAGAGTTCTTGCCACGAGTTGAGATATCAGCGATAACATCCCACATGAAGCGACGAGAGACCGGGTCCATACCAGTCGACGGCTCGTCCAGGAAGATGATACGTGGGTTGCCGATCATAGCAATCGCCACCGACAACTTTCGCTTGTTGCCGCCACTCAGACTACCGGCCAGTTTGTTCTCAAAGTCTGCGAGATTCAACTGCTTGATCTTGTCCTGTACAACGACATTCAGTTGAGAGCTTGGGACGCCCTTGATCGAGGCGAACAGCTCCAGATGTTCACGTACTGTCAGCAGCTCAAAGAGGGCGTCAAACTGAGGACAGTAGGACGAACCTCGAGCTGTTGCGTTAAAATGTCAAAGCCGCTGAGTGTAGCCGTACCGTGCGTGGGGAGTTCGTCGCCCGTGAGCATCTTCATCGTCGTCGTCTTACCAGCGCCGTTGATACCCAGGAAACCGAAACATTCGCCGCGTTTCAACCCGAACGACAAGTTACGAACCGCGACCTTGCCACCGGGATACACCTTGCGAAGGTTTGATAGCTTGACGATGTCGCTATCGGCTTCTCCGTTGGCCACACGCTGCGCCTCCTTGACAACATCAACGTCTTCTTCGTACGGTTCGTCTTGTACATTATCACGGCCACTCATCCAGTCTTTCACCTTGGGGAAAGTCATCGCGTAGTCGATACCCACAGCCAGGAATCCGTACAAAATGGCCGTGACGAACAGGAAGATCATCTCCCAGCCCATGAGGTCCGTACTGAACGGACTCGTCTTGGACTCGTCACTCTCTCGGATCGTTGTGAGCTCATTTAACACCAGATTCAACAGCCCGTAGCCGAGATTGAAGAGCGGAGACAAGCGCCAGAAGAAGACCAGCACGGCGTTCACATCTTCCGTCGACTCGATCACATCCAGAATGAACGCCACGACCATCAGCACGACGCCGATGATGAAGTTGATCATGATCGTGTACGTTTGGGACGACGCGTGTTCCTTGAACAGATATGACAGGCAGTAGGTGAACGGACAGATCGCTAATCCGAATAAAATAAACAGGACAATGACCGCCGGGAACGTCTCGGACGTGCAGCTGTTGCAAGCCGAACTGCCAGTCATCGAGTCGATGTTGAAGCCCTTGATCATGATGATCGCTGCAGCGCATGGGATCAAATACAGCAAGAAGTCCCAGATAAAGTTGGCCAGCCAGAAAGCCCCAAGAGACACACCCGATACCAGTTGCTGGTGCTTCGAGTTGTGACTCGACTGCTTCTCCTTGACCAAGAAAGTCACGATAGACGCCGGGTAGTACGTGAAGGCGATGCAGATGAACAAGCACGCCGTAAACGCCAGGAAAGACCCGAACAAAGCCTTCGTATCAGCAGTTAATGGGAGCGGATGGTTGTTAACAACCAAGTTGATGTTCGACCCATCGGAGCTCGAGTTGGATGCGAAGAACCGGTAGAGCGTCTGGTCCATTAACGCCTTGAAGATGACGGCACTGTGGGTGGACGTCGTGTTGACGAGCATGTTGTAGCCCAACAGGTTCTGGTTACTGTCTCCGTGCACCAAGTAGGCGCCGTATTGGCCTTCAACTGTACTAGTGTCGACACCGTAACCGCGTTTGTGAACTTCCTGACCCAGACGTAATCCGTATCCAGTACTAGTGTTGATGGCTGGGTTCGTGTACGTCACACGAAAGACTGTGGGCGAACTGGAGTCGTAGGCTGGCTCGGATAGTGCGAGTGCTTCCGTGGAAACGTCGGTAAAGTACGATCCGCCCATTGCAGTGCTGCACCATTGGTCGTCTGTTGCACCGGGTTGGCAGAAGTACGGTGTTGGGGTCTCTGTTCCATAGTCAAACTTGTCTGAGGTTAACGGCAGGTTCGGGTCGTTCTTCGTGAAGCTGGTGCCTTGAAGCAGCCCCAATCCAACTAGCAATAGGAAAATCGGAAGCGCTAAGCTGTAAAAGATCATCTTCTTGTCGCGCTTGGCGTATCGGAACCGCTTGAGAAAGAGAGCCCGTAAATGAGTCAAGAAGAACGACCCAGTCTGGTCAGGAATTGCACCGGAATCACTTGAAGCGGCGGGGCTCTGCACTGGCGCTTCCACCCGACCTCGGTTCCCAAGTGTGTGCTGGTTACCGTGATCATCTGCCTCCGCCACCTTAATGAACACCTCCTCAAGTGTAGTCACAGAGACGCCGTACGACAACAACCCAAGCCTTTGAAGATTGTCGTCCATGTCTGCGAACATCGACGCGAACTTTGACGAGCTTGCAAGTGGCAACTGGAACGCAATCTCACTGCCGACGTTGCTTAGCACCTGCGCCGTGGGCACTCGAGACGTCACGAAATCAATCACTGCGCTGTCCTTGCAGGTGGCATCGTCCTTCACTAACGTCAAGTTGTAGCCTGCTCCAAAGCGGTTCTTCAAAAACAGCGACGACCCGCAACAACGCAGCTCTCCTTCAGCCATAATGGCAATACGATCACCTAGAATGTCGGCTTCGTCCATGAAATGTGTCGTCAATACCATCACTCGATCATTACGATTGTTCAGCAGGATTTCCCACGTGCTACGACGACTGTACGGATCCATACCGGACGTTGGTTCGTCCAAAAACACCAACGAGCTGTCACCAAGTAGCGAGACAGCAACGGAGAGCTTGCGCTTCATACCACCAGACAGCTCCGTCGACTTCACATGACGCTTCTCCGTTAGTCCAACCTCACGGATCTGTCGGGTAATCACAGCGTCCAGCTCAGTCTTCGTGTAGCCCTTGATACGTCCAAAGAAGAGCAGATGTTCTTCCACAGTTAGCTCTTCAAACAGTACATCGTGTTGGAAACAAAGACCCAACGACTCACGGATCTCGTCCATATCTTCGGTGATCGACATGCCTCGGAACGTAGCGTCTCCACTCGAAGGCGCGATCATGCCCGTAAGCATAGAGATAAGTGTCGTCTTGCCAGCTCCGTTATGTCCTAGCAAACAGGTGATCTGGTTCTTGTACATGGTCAGATTCAGACCTTGGACTGCCACTTTCTCACCTCCAGGGACCGAGAAAACCTTACGCAATCGCTGCACTGCCAATACTTCACCCTGACGCTCCTGCTCGCGGAGTTCTGCGTTCACAGGCTCAAAGTTGTGGTTCACATCAACAGATACAGTGTCCAGCAAGGCCTCACCCGGGTCCGCGTCCTTTAATGCCTCACGCGCTTTACTACGACTCCTCCAGTACGAAGGAGATACCGGGAAATACCACTTCAACGTCGTACCGTGTTCCTTGGGGATGACCTTCTCGAAGTAGAGTCCCAGTAGAGTATACAACACCGTGTCGAGAGCGAACATGAGCAGTGATCGACTGAAACGGAAGTTGTCGCTCAAGACGCTCGCGTTGGAGAAGTTGACGCCCGTTCCTGTGGCTTCCAAGTTCGACAACACCGTCACTCCGAGTGACAGAGCCACGGGGGACAGGACACAGCCTGCTGTCTTCTGGTTCTCTGCCGTTTCCGTCGTGAACGCAGCTGAGACAAAGTACATGAGGAAGAAGACCACCATGCCCACGAACGCTCCAACACGAGCTTTACTGAAGATGGTGCTGATCATGAAGCCATACGCGAGGACACTGAGACTGAAGAGGAAGAAGAAGAGGAAGATCAACACCACCGAACTGTTCGAGAAGAGACCGGCCATACCCATGAGAGCCTGCAGAATTGAGCCGAAGAACAGGATCAGGACGTACGTGATGTACCAGGACACGACAATCGCCTTCTCCTTGACGCCCAGAATCTTCATGTACTCTCGCAGACGCAGCTCTTTCTCTTGGATTAAAACCACCAGAATCCGGGAAATCGAGTACAGATACGACAAGATGAACACGATAGCGAACACGTCTGACACCTGGTCGTAGAAGGGCGAGCTAACGTATGCTTCGATGGGGAATGGCGCCACCGATGCGCCCAGGTACGGCTGTGGAGCTTGTCGCAATGGCTTCAGCAACGCTTCTATCGTTTCGTTTGGGAAGAAATCCTTTAAACTTGAGAAAGTGGCGTCTGTTCCAGCAATATTCTGGACTGCAGACGAGATAATCACATCATTATCCAGCGATGACAGCAGTGCGTCGTCCAGTTCCGTCGACGCCTCCGCTGTTGTCTGTGGCCTCTGACACTCTCCATTCGTCGTCTTGGTAGCAGAATCCCATTGGGGCATACAGGACACGAACCTCGTGACCAACGTCTGCAGCGTCATGAACCCTGTAATGGAATATCTCGTGTAGTAGTCCATACTAATCGATTTCTGGAATGGGGAGATCTGCGGTGGGTCTCCTCCTGTTCTGGGGACTAACCCGATAGCGCCACGTCGTCCAAGTGTCGAATTTAGCCTCACAGTGTACTCAATATCCTGGAAAGACCCGATATCGTCGTCAGCTGGATGCGAATCAAACACGATACCTCCGTAGATATGAGGCTTCTCCAGACTTGACGCGTAGTCCTGACCACTCACATAGTCCTCCATTGCTTCCTCCGTGTCAAAGAACTTGACACTCTCCAGAAATGACGGAAATACCGCCGATGTGGACGAATTGCGTAGGTTTATTCGAGGATACCACAGCTCCATAGTCTGCATGAAATAATCTCTCGTAAAGGTATTGTCCGGGGTAATGGCGATCTTGTAGGGCGCTACTTTGCCTCTGCATGACGAGGGTACAGCGTATTCTGACGTAGGGTCGATGTCTACCAAGCCTCGAGCAGTCACTCCCGTCGTACAGTTTGCTAGCTCTGTGGACGATAATTCGTCCATTTTCATGCCCTCCGATATGGACAGACTACCCATATACAAGAGAATACCCCACAGAGACGTCTCGTGCATCGTAAACTTAGGTAGAATGGCGGGGATGCCGGATAATGTGGTGCCCGACGTCTGTAACAGGTTGTAGGACGTGCCCAACGTGTCATCGCTCGTGACGCTCTCGTCGTCACTCCAGCCTTCAGGCACGTCCACGTCATCCACCAGCGCCTTGAGTAGCCCCATGATTAGGATGAAGATGCAGGGTAGGGCGATCTCCATGAAAGTGGCCACAGGGTGGCGTCTCTTGAGCGTCCAGTTTTTCCATAGTAGAGTGCGAATGAATAGCCACGTGGTGCGACGCTCGGCCAAAGGCGGGAGGAGGAAGGTGACTCCATCTCCTTACCGCCCAACATGGCGGTCTGGGACGAAGACCGCGCTTTGTCCATCAGCATGCGCTCTACCTAGCGAAATTAGGTATGACAGGTAGATGTTGTGAGCGCAAAGATGTCATAACAGATTTTGCTACAAGAAATAGTATTACCAAAATGTGGGTTATACAAACAAGTGTTCGGTTGGGGTGAGCAGCCAAAGCGAAAAATACTCAAACGTACCGGAAGCTGGATTTGATGGAGTGGTAATCAAGGAAGCTTATTCTCGATCTCCTCGCTCATGAAAAGCTCGACCAGCATCATCCATGCCTCCGGTGAACTCCATACGCCCGCCCTGTACTTCTGTTGCGGATGACTTGATCGGTGCTAGAGAGTGGCCAGTGTATTCGCAACTTTACCGTCATTCGTTTAGCGGATGTCCCACGATGGAAAAATGACAAAACCTGGTGTGATCCAGATAAACATGACAAAAAAGACTTATTGTGACAAAATATGGTGCTGCTCGAAAACTTTTATTTTTCTTGGAAGCAGGACATTACCACACCAGGTTTTGTCATTTTCATGGTGGGCCTTACAGACACAACGTGTTCGCACGAACACGTTGGTTTGACGTAGTAGTAGAAATTCAGGACCACAGGCCGCGAAGAGTGTCTGCGCTGAGTACGGAGATTCACCGACTCACTCCTTTCTTGAGGACATCACGGTGTTGTTTCTTATAGTACCGCACTCGCTCGCGCTCATTTTTCTTTAGGCGCCGTTGCTCTTGTCTCTTTCGCACTGCAGTTTTACTGCACGAAAACTTCTTCTTCCGGTGTATCTTCAGTGCGTTGGGTGACGAAAGCCTTTTCTTGCGAAGATGGCATACTGCTGTCCTTACTCGCGTGTGCCATCTTTTCGAATGACAAAGGTTTCCGAGAGTAGTCCCATGGTTGTACCTCTCATATTTTAAAATAAACTAAATATTTCTTAATAAATAGATGTAAAATTTGATTCAAAACCGTTTTGGGGCAGAAATCTGCAAAAACATACCAGAACCTTCAAAATGTGGCAGGAAGAAAATAAATAAAACGGTAAAACCAAGTTTTGTTTTTGCTTCATGACTAAAAATAACTCCACAATTTGACATATAAACCTTTTCCGTCGCCGACGCTAGTTACTTTTCAGGTACAGTACTGCACCCCGTTTTCGCGCCCTTGGACCTTTGATAAACTTCTGGATGTGATGATCCAGAATCCAAATGAACTAAGGTTTGTAAGCTAAAATCGGATTTATTTGCAAATCCTATATGGTCCACCCCCGCGAAAACGGGGTGCAGTACTTAGCACCATATTTTGTCACAATAAATCTTTTTTGTCATGTTTATCTGGATCACACCATGTTTTGTCATTTTCCCGTTCGACAATAACAGGCTGTATTAAAGGGCAACTTCAACGTTCGGAGATTCTTTTGTTGTCGCAGAAAATGCGAAGTCTTCTGGTAGCTGCTGAAGCTGAGCAAAGCTGCGCAGGGTGGACGCCGATCAATTTACCAAATAGCACCATCGTTTCCAATTTAACCGGTATTGCATTCGCGGTAATAGTTGAAGATTATACACCTAGACAGGGGCAACTACTATGAAGTCGTCTAAAAGGAAAATGAAAACTACCTGCCCAGTGCGCTCGCCCTCTAGGGGGTGTTGGGGTCTTCAGCAATTGCAACTTTCGCGACACCGTCAGCCACCGCGTCGGCCGGGTCTTCATTTGGGCCACCGGCACGAACGATATCCGCAAAGCTTGGGGCGTCGTCAGCGACCCACGAGAAGCGTGCAAAGAGCTTTGTGGAGTCGCCACTAGCGCCAGAACTGTCAATGCGACTGCGACGTCCTACGTCTTGGGTCGTAAACTCCTCGGAGAAGTACGTGGTGTCTGTGTTGCTGAGAACATTGGGCACGATAGGTGGCTGCACCTTCTTGTCCTCTAACAACCCCCAGTCAATGCCCTTGAAGAAGGCGTGCTTCTTGATGGCCTGCACACCTTTCACCTGGAACATCGTCGACTTGCCGGACCCCAGACGCTTGTCCACATTTCGCTCCAGCAGTTGCTTTAGAATGGAGTGGGTATCAGGGCCAAGCCACTTGGGGAGAGGGAGCTGCACAGCAGTGTTAGTATTAAACAGTTTAAAACAGGTTTTAGCACTTACCTTCTCGTTGAGAATTTTATGATGGAGTTTCTTGCGGTTCTTGTGTCTGAATGGCGGGTAACCAGTGACCATTTCGTAGATGAGGGCACCAAGCGCCCACCAGTCGACTGCCTGGTTGTATGCCTTCCGACGGATCATTTCCGGCGGCATGTACTCTGATACAGGAGCACAAAACACACGACACACTTAGTTCATTGATAGCACAAACACGTAGAATACGAACCCACCGTTCGTGCCACACATGGTACTCGTCGAGTCGTCCTCCTGCAACATTTATATAAGCACTTCAACTGCTCTTTCGACGACACAAAGTCTACTCACATCTGCCATCTCTTTGGCGAGGCCAAAGTCCGTCAAGCGGATGTGTCCATCAGCACCAAGCAGCACATTTTCAGGCTTCAAGTCTCTGCACGTTACCACAGCAGCGTCACCAACCAAATCATCTCCACAGACAGGAATAAACCAATTTTAAGTCATACCGATGAATGATGCCCTTTGAGTGTAAATGTTCCAGTGCTAGTACCATTTCAGCAGCGTAGAACTTGGCCGAGCTTTCGAGCAGCAGTCCCTCCTTGTGCAGATGATGGAAGAGCTCCCCACCCGCCACAAAAGGCATCACCAAGTACACATTCGACTTGGTTTGGAAGGCATATCTCAGACTAATGAGGAACGGGTGGTTGATCTTGGTCATGATGTCCCTCTCCGCCTGCAGATACGACACCGAGTTGTGTTGCACGATGTACTTGTTGGACACAATCTGTCACAAAAAAGCACAATGGTTCTATCAGCATAGTCACTAAACCCGCGCTTCTTTCGCCATTGCACGTACTTTCATCGCCAGAATCTCGTCCGTTGGCTGGTGTCGCACTTGAATCACTTTACCGAAAGCTCCTTGGCCGATGACACACAGTAGATCGAAGTCTTGAGGCCCCACCGGGTGCTTCGAGCCGCTCGTGTCGGTGCTTACACTGCTTGTGCTGTCTGAAGACGCGGGTGAAGCCAGTACTGCTGCGTCTTCGCTCTCGTTCTCTGCGATTGCCTCGTGTTTGCGACTGAGTCGTTTGAAGGTGAAGCGTCGGAGCTTGTCACGCTTAGATCCATTGCGCGACTTAGACGGCGCTTTGTCCGCCACTTGCGGGGCCTGTGGCGGAGCTTTAGCCGCCGCGAAGTCCTCGGATTCGGCCTTGGTGAGGGTCGACGGCATCGCGAAGGGAGTGACGCTAGTGACCAGTGCAGCAATGCACTGTGTACCTCTGCTGACGCTAGTCGACCCTTCTGTCCGAGCATAAAGAGTGTAAAAGAAGTAAAGGGTGTGAGAGGTGACCAGCGAAACGGACAGAATCTACCGGACAGCGAACCGACCCCACATTTGTGCGACATTCTAACGACATTATTTGCTCGAAGCGACGCGGCGTATCTTTTCGGTATCCTTTTAGTGCAGATTCGGCATTGCGACTGCGCTGGGAGTTGATAAACTATGAGGTATCGTGTTGACCTCGTGTTCCTAACCTTGATAGCGCTGGTAATTGGCAATACGTTTAGCGACGAGATATCGGCTGAAAATGCTGAAGTTCCTACACATTCCGACAATGCTATCGCCACAATCGACAAGAACACACGCAGTTTTGTGGCCGCGACTCGCGGGTCAGCCTACTCCCTGACTTTGACGACGTTCCTGACTGATGCTGCACATTTGCACTATGCGGTACTTCCTGCGGGTCAACCGACGCTGGATGCAGCCGGTATCAAGACTGCGGCGGCCCAGTGTCGCTTGGATGTGGGTACAACAAATGATGTACGACCGGGCAGTGCAGTATCGAGAGTGCAGGATGCGGGTGTTGTGGCTGCAGAAACGGTCACGGTGCCCAAGGCCCAAAAGGTGGTGAGTGCAGTGGAAAATCTGCAGCCAAACAAGAGTTACGACGTGTTCTTCGTCGCCGAAGTGGTCGGAAGTAACGGGGTCTTTGGCTCAGTACAGTCGGTGCTGCAGAAGTCCACACATCCAGAACCTCCGACAATTGACATAATTAGTATGCAACCAGCTAATGCAACGGCGGATACGGTGCTGATCAACGCCCACACTAGGCGAATTTCTGTGGGGGGGGTGGGAGTGGGGGGGGGTAAACCCCCATTTCACAAATCGCGGGGGGCGGGTCTTATCTGTTCCTGTGTTTATAAGAGCGAGAGCGGGAGAGTTAAGAGACCTCTCTCCCCCCACGCCCCAATATGTGGTTGCAAACCATGTTGTGATCGCAATCCATTTGTCACTACGTGGATCATGGTCTACATTTCTAGAGATGAAAAGATCTAACGCCAGCGACGCTGTACGATGTGTTCGTGCTTACGGAGGCTCCGGGCGATGGAGAAGTTCGAAGTGAGGTGATTAACTTTTCAGGCAAAGTGCGTACTCATGCGCTCGCACCAGAAGTGACAAAACTGGTATGTTTTCCGCTTAATGCGAGTGCTACGGCTCTTGACATCAGTTTTCAATTAGCTGTAAATCAAGAAGACATCGACCGCGTAAAGCTCGAGACGTTGCCGAATTTTACTTACGATCTCCATTATGAGGTCATCGCGTTGTCTGATGGTACGAAATCTACAGTCACCGCTAGCACTTCATCAGTTTATGCGGGGACGGGAACGGCAACTCGCAGTACAGACGACATCAGCGCGCTGAGAAATACTACAATCCGTGGAAAATTCTCCATGCGCAACTTCTCGAGCGTCGAGGACTTCCAAGCAGGTCTCCAGGAAAGTCACCACGCGAACATCACGGGACTGCAAAGCGGCACTTTGTACAAAGTGAAGCTGCGTGCAGAAACTGCAGGGAGCAACGGACTCTTCGGTCTTCGTGAGTTCACAGCAGAGGCCACGACACACCAAGTGCCGCCCCGTATCCTGGCTGCTGCTGTCCAAGCTACCAATAAAAGTGTGGATTCCCTTACTCTCGTGGTGGATTTGGAGCAGCAACAAGGCAATGTTCACTATGTCCTCACCGGTAAAAGTGGAGCTGCTGGCAGTCTTCGTGGCGTGTTCCAGCAAGCCACAAGTGTGGAGCATCTTCACAGCCTACTGCGAGACCGATCACCTCGTGACTTCGAAGAGAATGCCTACAGGACTGGAGTGGTTGCCTTCATCTCGGAGGAGAAAGTCTCTGTCTCGGATACTCGCAACCCGAATGTTGCGGGGCCCGGGAAACCGGAAGAAAAAGCAGAAGTGGAAGCGTTCAGGCAACAATTTGAGATCACGGGACTTGAAGACGCGACGTCGCACTTTGTTGTGCTGCTTCCAGAAACTACCAAGAGTTTTGGTCTATTCGGTCGTCCTTTTACCTCTCTACTGGAAGCCCACACGAACGAAAATGCCTCGGAGATTGAGCTGCTTTCAGCCAAGCCTCTCCACGGGAATACTACCGCCGTCCAGCTCGAAGTAAGCATGACGAAGCCGAAAGATGTTCTCTTCTTGTGCCTCAACTCGCTGTTTGCAGCGGACGTTCCGGACGTGGGTTTGGATAGTTGCCGAGAAGTGGACAGGGCCAGCTTGGAGACTTCAAGAGTATCCCCCAACGTCCTCACCTTTACTGTCGGAAATCTCAGCGAAGACACCGAGTATCATGTCGCGCTGTACGCTGAGAACTCTCTTCGCAACGGCGTAGTAAGCGAACGGAGCGCAGAGCAGTCGGTACGAACATACAAGAGCGCACCGCGGGTCATTGAGACGTCTGCACAGCCTACAGCTGCTTCATCATCGCAGATCGACGCACAAGTTATAGTGGAGCCAGATTCCTCGTGCATAGTCCACTATGTTGTTCGTGAAGCGCAGGATTCCATGGCGACTGAGGCACAGAAGCCAATGGATGCGGCTACAATTGTAGAGCATTCCTCCAGTAAGGATACTCGTTCCCAGCTCCAGCATCGACTACCGTCATCCTCTTCATCTTTCGTAAGCGGTGGGAACGTATTTACCGAGTCTGGTGCTGCTAATACGAGCTTCAAAGTTCAAGAACTGCGTGCCAATACGACGTATGAAGTTCTCGTCGTAACGGAGACGAGTCGAGACGGAAACAGTAGCGGAGTCCTCGGAGAGCTCGTGACGTTCAATGTTTCAACGCACGCTTTAGCTCCTAAAATCGTGCTGGCAACTGTGGATCCTATTGATGGCAGCACCGACAGCGTCGTTATTACTGCCAATCTATCACACCCTGGAATGCTTCACTACTTCCTCAGCGACGTCGACTTCGCAGATCCTGCAGTTATCAGCCACAGCAACGAGGCGAAGCGCATACCTCACGAACTACGAGGACAGCTAGAGGTGCTGCAGGAGCATATTTTGATGGAAGTTATCAACGGTACGAACGACACTCGACCCACCGATCCACTCGTGTTTGTACACAACACTACAGTGAGTGGCCTCAAGTCTGGCACGACGTATCATGTGTCTCTCGCCACTGAGACCTACGGTAGCGAAGGCGTCTTTGCCGAATTCCCACCTCCAGTGCTGGTGAATACTCATCTTGGGCCTCCAGTGATCATTCCAGAGAAGCTGTCGATACATCCGGTGGACGGATCGAGCTCAGCACTTGCCATAGACTTCGAATTGGATCGCTTTGGAGACGTCCACTACGCGCTGTTCTTCCGTGGTCTTGTACCTGACAGGAGTCTCGAATTTGAGGCTTCAGTAGAGAGAATCGAGGACAAAAAGGAGGACACGGGGAACGAGTCGACGCCAATCTGGCCGCCACCGATTAGCACGTTTGATCTGCAGAAGTTGGACGGCTCGATGCTCAAGAAAGCGGAGCTAGAGGAGCTTGGCGTGGGTGTCTGGGTGAATGACTCCATATCGGTGTCTCGAGACGATATAACGCGCGGCAAAATGACGCACAAGGAGATCGATAAATTGCCAGCTAACGCACTGTTTGACGTGTGTCTTATGAGTGAGACTGCAGCCAGTGGCGGTATATTGGGCTGGCCGTCGGACGGTAGCGCTACTGCGTGCCACAGAGTTGCTACACACGCAGACTACACGAACCAGTCGACGCTGTTGGACGAGATATCTGTACACCCTTTAGGCAGTCGAACGGACGGGATCCGTATCAATCTCAACGTCTCGAAGCTGCTGAACGCCCCGCAGACAACTGACGGTACAGGCCTTGAGCGATTTGGTCGAGCAACCGGCAGAGTGCCCTATTTTGTGCTGATCGACGCAAAATCAAGATCTGGACGTGACCTGAAGGCGTTTTCTTCTCATCGAGGTGAAGTTACTAGCGCCTTTAAACACGCTTCTCCTGGACATGGCGACGGCGTCGTGGCTGCCGGAGTGTTGTCGAATATAACGCATGAGAACGCTACTGCTCTGGTAATCGAGCAGCAAGTGGTCGGCTTGGAGGCCAATCACGAGTATTTGCTCTTCTTCGCGTACGAGACCAGCGGCAGCAACGGCGTCTTCACTCGGATCAATCCTCATAAGCTACGAGGCAACAATTCGCGCTCCGAGAATGACGGTATCCCAGTCACGACGTACGAATCTGCTCCTCGCATCCCGAAAGCCAAAGCCAACCCCACGTTTGGTCAAACCTCCAGCATCACAGTGAAGTTTGACATCTCGTGCGACTCCTGCGAGCGTGCGCTGGTTCATCTACTCGTTTATCCAGACACTTGTAAAACTCCAGAGTCTGTGGCTGATACGCTGCGTTTGGATCAATTTGCTGGCTCAGAGACTAATGTGAGCATCGTGAACTCTAGTGAAGTAACTGGAGACTGCAGCACTCCGTTGGTGCAAAAGCGCGTGGCGTTTGCAATTTCCGAGCGACAACACAACCGGAACGATCTCGAAGAGGAACTTGGCGACGGAAATGTGCTCTCAGCCAACACCAGTTACGTGGTTCTGTTAGCGACCGAGACTGTAGGTGCTCACGGCGTGTTGAGTGCGAGATTCGAGGAACTGCGAGTGCGAACACATGCCCCAGCACCGAAACTCACAAAATTTCGACTGGAGCCTCGCGCAGGGTCTACGACGGAGTTGGTGTTAACGCTCGCTCTTGATCGTCCTGGTGAAGTGCACTACATGCTTGGAGCTTCAGACAACGCCGAGTTTAACGTCACGTCGCCTCATAACATCAGCAGTAAAGGAGTTCCAACCGGTGATCGTCATGGACGCAGTCGAGATGCACACAACTATCGGCCAGAAATTGTACGCACACGACGAAGTGTAACGTTGTCGGACGGTGAGTACGTCGAGCTCGTGGACTATTTGCTGCCCGGTACAAGCTACAGTCTATTCATTGTGTCGGAGGCTTTACCGGCAGATCACGGCGTCTACGGCGTCATCCACGAGGTGAAGGACGTCTCGACATTCGCCAACGCGCCGATTCTGTTGGCGCACGCGGCGTATCCGACACCGGGGACCACGGAATCGCTAACTGTGGGCTTTCGCATGGACGCACCGGGCCTTGTGTACTTCTCCGCTGTTGCAGTGGAACCCTGGAGTCTCACGCATCATGTTGCTAAAGGAAGTGACCGGTTCGGCAACCGCTTGGCGCTGCAAGACCGACTTGTAGCGCAGAAGAGCCTGGAAGTCGATGGAGCGAGTATGGAGCTCGAAAGCGACAGCGGGTGGCGAGAAATGATTCTGCAAGTGCCTCAGACTGGAGTTAACTATACGGTTCATCTCGTTACGGAGACGAAGGACAGTGGAGGCATTTACGGTACTGTGGCCACTCACGCTGGCGTTCGAGCTCATTCAGAGGCCCCAGAGCTGGTTAATGTGACGGTTAACCCGACCGACGCTCGTGTGGATGCGCTTACAGTGAATGTTACGCTAAGTGAGCATGGCCACGTGCACTACGTCGCTGTACCTACTGGACGTGGCTCGGAGCCTCCGTCGAACGATCAATCAACCGAGCTGAGTGTACGTGCAAGTGGCAGCATCGACGTTAATGAGACCGCAGGGAGCCAGGAGACAAGCTTTGTGATCGATGGACTCACGGAAGGCACTTCGTATGATCTTTACTTCCGTTCGGAGACATTTGAGAGTTTTGGAGTCTTTGGATCATGGACGAAACAGGCTGTGACAGCTCGAACGCACGGTCTGCCGGCTGATGTTCTACCGGAAGCAGTGGAGTGCAAGGTGACGCCATCGTGTGAGCAACGCGGACGTGAAGCTGTAAGTGCTTCTGCTGTTTTTTTTTGCAATTATTCCTGGTCAAAGCTAACTTTTTACTGCTGTTAAGTGCTCGCGTAAGGCCAATATTTGTGGGAAGTGTCTTGAAGGGTATGGAGCGGTGGGTGATGAAGAGATACCGGAAGCCGATGAGCCGTGCGTGAAGCTGACACCCACGAAAGGTATGTTACACGTCGATTTTTTAAATTCTTAAGTAGTTATTCAAGGTGTATTGTGTTTTGTTAGCCAAACGAGGCCCGAAGATCAAAATTAACAGTGTGACGCGTAACCCAAACTTGCCAGCAGAGAGTGAGAATGACGAGGACCATGAACTTGTGCCTCCTGCGCCTACGGAACACGCTGCGCTTGAACAACCAGTTGATCTCGATGCGGTAGAGCGTGACTCGATGCAAGCGAAGGAAGAGCCGGAGGTCATTCACGAACCCCAACACGAAGAGCCAATAGCAGATAATGTGATGCAAGAATCAAAGGAAGAGATATCGGAGCTGCTCGAAGCGATCGAGCAACCTGTCGAACCTCAAGTGCCAGTTTCTACCACGCCAGATCAACATGTTGACGTCGGTGTGGCCGAGATCATCGCCGAACCAGAACCGATTCCAGACGCTTACGAGACCTCAGGGTGCCCATTGAACTCGCAACCAAGTGCCTCTGGCTTGTGCGAGTGCATATCCGGATACGAGGTAGACGAAGGAGGCACCAGTTGTGTCCTCTCTCGTATGACCACGGTAGCTGAAGCTGCTGCTACGGCCTCATCAGCTGCCTTTGATATTTTCAGCGCTCATCATCAGGTTCCTGGCCAAAGCATGTAATAAACATCGACTTAGATACGCACAACACTTTGTAGCGGGGAAGCAATAAACTTTTTACAACAAGAGAGAATAACAAAAACTTGACGATGCTGGGATAGCAAAAGAAAAAACTAAGACATGTTTCGAGCGAAAGCGCAATTTTAATTACATTGACAGCTCGAATTTCCGCATTTGTCACGGTGCCCACAGGCAGGACTTAAAAATCTTACACAGTGTCCACAAAAAACGACTTTTGTAGCTCTGTAAACGTCGTTACACGGTAAATTGTTTTAAATAGGGTGTAGCTATCCTCGTCAATTTTCCTTTGACCTTCTAGTATCAAAGCTGATCTTCCCGGTTGGAATACCCCGGAGTGATGGGAGCCCATACATCACGGTTTGCTCAAAGTCACCATATCCCAACCTGTTTTTAGAAGCACGCACAACGGACCCCATCGTATTAGCTACGACCATTTGAGATTTCTGCTCTCGCCGTTGCCTCTGTCATCGAAAGAAACAAGAAGGAATTCTGGGGATGGTTAGGGCCTTGGCATGCGAGGCTGGGGTGGTGGTTGAATGGTGGTTGGGGTGGTGGCTGGGGAGGCTGGCGTGGTGCCGGTGGGGGATGGTAGATGGTACCAATGATCAATAAAGAGAACTTTGTGCCGTGACGACTCTTTGTTTGAGCTACCCCGCTTGCTATCAATCGGGCTTTCTGCAAATGCTCGATTTATTTGGATCTCTTGTCGGCACTTTCAAACAAATATCCAGAATAAAAAACGATGAAAGGTTTGCGTTTATGCTGTCTTTTTTATCTTCATTGTGTACTTATCTTCTCTACAGAGCAATTAATAGTGTTGATCACCTCCAACTTGAGAATCATCGGCTCCAGTTCAGAACTTTTCTTTTAGCATTCGCCTCACTATGTTTTGATTACGTACAAGGGTCAAAGCCTACGCATGACACCAGTTTTTTTAAAAGAAAGCATCTTTCATCGTATTTTATTCTGGATATGTGTTTGAGCTTGCTTCCGCAGTAGTCCGAGTTGATGGCAGAAGAGATCATGGCCGAAGTACATGAGCTTGTATCCAGTAGCCCTTCTACTACCACTTCGACAAGCTTGAGCACATAAATTCTGAAGTGAGATCCTGATTGCATCTCATCTTCATAATGTTAACCGCGTCAGGTTTATGAGCCGATGCAGCCTCGACTACAGGGCTCCACCAATTCCTTCGCTTGGAATGAAAAAAAAAGTGAAGCAAACAATAAATATTCTATTTGTTTTCCTATTTCGTCAAAGCATTCTAGAAAAGAAAAGAATATTTCCGAATAGCTCTGGAAATGAATACACTCAAACTCGTTTTAACCCCCCCAAAGCGAGCGGATTTCGTTGCGCCTATTTACCGAAACCCCATACACGTTATGGATAGTGGGTTACAATAGTAAGACCCAGCTATATTTTATCGTGTATTTAACAGAGTCGGTACAGCGCCCCACCCCTAGGGTCTTCATTTCTCGATATCGTGTATCAGGTATACTAACATGTCTGCACTGTACGCGATAACGCTGATATCGTGTCCTGAGTGAACAAAGACAACACAACATTTGTACAAAAACACATCTAGCGGGGAGTGACGGGTCATATTTTTGTCGATATTTAGAGAAGGATTCCACATGGCGATCTGCACAAAAAAACATATATTCAAATCAAGTTATTTTTGAAGCCGGAACATGTGCTCTGACGACGATCTCACTAGATGCCGTCATCGTTGGTGTGTGGCCGCCATCCCGAACGACCCTGAGAGGAAACACTTCCGATTTCAGCTCTAGACTGCGACTCCGAGTCGCTGGCATCAGAGCCACCGTCACTTGCAGCGCGTGCGGGCTTCCGGGCTCGAATTTTGCGCTTGCGTCTGATTGAGGGATCATAGTCCCATTTTTCCAGTGTTTATGCCATATATCCCAGCACAAAGTAGGTTCGCCTTTGCTGCAATGCTTCACCTTGTTGCAGAGGAATACGCGTGCGGCTAACTCGTGTCTTGATGTTGTTTTCAGCTTACATTCAGCACAGTAGAATGTCGTTTCCCCTCCTCGAGACGTGGCAGCACCTTTTCGCACCGAACAAACCTTGCACGCACGCTGCCTACGCTTTCTCGTCTTATCGGAGTTTCCTTTGCGCCACTCGTCGGCCTGTACAGGCATGTGCGCCGCTCGAGCTTGTCGTGCCCGCGTTGGCTTCCCGGTTGCCGCGCGATGGTAATTGTGCACGATGAAAGCATTGATGATAGCCATGTCTATCAGTCCCAGAAAGAGAGATTTGTAGTACTTCTTGTAGCGCCGAGCCAATTGCAGTGAATACCTAATAATACGTACAATACATGTTAAGACGATGACTTCAACGTGTATATACAGGATATGAATACTTGCCGTTGTAGACGTAACTGGTCGTGAACGTCGACTCCGCCCATGAAAGTCTGATAGTCTTTAACGATCCGTGGACACATCAACTCTGTCTGATCTCCAGCTACTGGATTCCTACGCACGATACGGTCTGGTACTGCACTTTCTCCAGCAGCAAGCAGATACACCGCTTGATTATCCCACCAACGGACGGCCTTGATCGATGGCACCTTTTGGAGGGTGGCTACGTCATACGTTCCTTTGACGATCTGTGCTGGTCGCTTCTTTGATTCCTTCCTGCCGTTTTTAGTCTTCTTTGGTAGAATTGCTTTGCACAGCCCCTTTCTGTTCGTCATTATTGTGCCCAAACTGTAGAAGTTCATGGTCAGCAGCTGCATAGCCAGCACGACAGAGGTGTAAAACCTGTCGGTGACTATGAGACGTCGCTCAGCTGGTCCGTTGACGCCAAAGACTTGACGTAAGTTCCGTACGACTGCGGCAGGTCCCGACTTTTCATCACTGGGTGTGCTACTGTCTTGCATTTGTTGCTTTCCACAATAGACTTCAAACCTGTAATATACACAATAGTTCAAAAGGTTTTAGCACGCCGAAGACACGATAAGGTAACTTTGAAACCAAAAAAAAAGAGCGTGCCCGAACGCACGCTCTTTTCCTTACCTGATGCAGTATGCAGACTTGGAGCAGCACAGCATAAAAAGCTTTGTGCCCCAGCGATGGGGCTTGTCCTTCATGAAGATTCTCATCTTGTTGAACGGAGACGTGCACGGAAGCATCGCTTCGTCAAACGCTATTATTGGAGGTGGGATGAAACTGGCCTGAAATGTTTCTTGCAGCACGTCAATCACCGGGCGGAGTTTCCAAGCTCGATCGGTATGCGCTCTTGCGTCAGCATTGCTGCTAGAGTGGAGATTCCGCGAGATATGATAGAAGCGATCTCTAGTCATAAATGCGTTAACAGCCACGAGGAATAGCACCTTCACCTGTAGTCTTCCAATGGTTATCAAACCTCTCTTTGTTGGGAGCTATGGTTCTTGCAATAAGTAATCCAAGAAAAATAGCAATTTCTCGTCCTGAAATGTCCTTCGTGTTCAGCAGCTTAGTCTTTATGATATCCGGAGGTGAGACATGGAAATCAGGCCTTTTCAGCTTCCTATCTAGCTGCTTGGCGTGTAGACTCTCCACTCGCGCGTCCAGGTTCTCCATAAAGTAGTCGTTACTAGCACCCGCAATTCTTTCTAGTACGTACGGCGGGACGAACTGAAAAAAATGCACCAATTGGGGTCTCGGCAGCGCTCAACGCTGCAGCAGTTGGTCCATGTTCACCGCGAAATAGATCCGGATAGTCAATATTTGCCCAATCATCGCGACGCATGTCGTAGGGTTCATCCATGTATGGGTAAGGCGTCTGATTGTGTACTGGAGACCACCCGTTCTCCTTCATGTCGGCTAAAACATCAGCCTTGAGGTTGCCACGTGCAATCTCGTGAACACCACCTACTGCTTCAAGTAGAGACGCATCAAATGGAAGCTCAGGTGGGACGACATCTTCATCTTCAATGCTGGGATCAGGCTCAGCGAGCTCCAGCTCTTCATCATCGTCGTACACAGAGAATCCTCCCCCCTCCTCGTCCGAATCAAGACTTGCAAAGACATACTTGTCATCGCCGGGCGCTACAATGTTAGGATCGTCTGTTAAAAATATACATGATAGTTGTTATTATCATGTATGTGTATCATGTATACAAAGGAATTGTATATCGTGTACATACACGTTTGAACCTACCAGATAAAGACGAACAGGAAAACGCAGCGTTCGATGCCGCGTCCACGCGATCGCCGTCTGCGGACTGTTGCACATTTATGGGGCTTTGCGGAGAGTCGTTAGAGTCATCTGAATCATCAGAAGACCCAAACAGTTCATACAGATTGCGCCTTGAAGTGGTTGGCACAACTGGAAAAATACAACGTTGAAAAGAGTTAGCTACAACACCTTCGAATTGTATGGATGGCACAGTAAACGTACCGGGTGTGTCTGGACTTGACGAAAATAAAGCATCGATATCGTCGTCAGCTTCTTGCGGCGAAGTAGTAATTAGCGGTGCACTGGAGTGAGATTGCATTGGAGAGTTGGGGTGCGTCTGTTGTCGTACTGGGGTGGTTGAGAGTGGCTCTTCACGCACTGTACTAACTGCATAATACACGATAGTGCTAGACAGGTACGGTGTAATGTACAGGCGTTGTAAAATATACCTGTTGGAGGTGTAGTAGCGTCATCAGGTGGAGTGGCTCCATCGTCTTGCCTCGAGGATGCGTGTGTGGCGTCGTCGGTCTGTCGTTCATCTTCCTTTTGCCTCGCAAGCTCATCTATACACGCGTCAACGGTTAGGCTCAAGTTTTCAATACATCATTAGAATAATCAACTTACCAAGGTCTAGTCGATCCAAATACGACATCAGCTCCTTCTCCCCTACAAAGATGTCTATTCCGCGGACGTCTGTCTTGCTTTTACCGGGCTTCAGATAGGTGTGGTCATTTGAGAGGCATGTAGGAGGCTTGGAAGACCAGCCTTCTTGCCGTAGTTCCTGCCATCGGGCCCGAAAA